CAGAAAGAAGCAAGTATTTACCTAAAAATCTATACTAGTAAATTATTCAGGTTTTATTATAAGCATAATCCAGTCCATCTCATTCTGCAAAAGCTCTCTTTTTGCAGTTTTTCCTTTCACCCATGTCTGTCTCTTTGACTTCCAAGGTCATTTGAGAGAGCAGATTATTACTACTTTAACTACGAGGTCATTAGGCAACAGGTCATTAGGCTTCTGAAGATCAAGCTCCTTCAGGCTACACAAATATAGTTAGGTTTCATCATGCAGACGTACAAGTAATTATAATAAGAATATTAATTAAGAATATATTATTATTATTTCTTATATAAAACAATGGAAAGTCAATTAAATCTTTAACTAGTTTTTGAAGTATATTATACAAGCTAATACAGTCAGTTATAAACAAAACCCAAAATCTGAGTTTGCCGAAGTTTGTGTGAAAAGCTTCCGAAGAGCATTACATGTAATACCTGATTACAGATTATTTTCATATTTCTAACGTTCAAGTCATTTATTTTTTAGGCGAATGTTAACACTTAATCCACACCACAAACAGGATAATCCTGAAATATATTCATCATCCTCGTGTACTGCAAGTTTCAAAATCTGACTGAACCCATTATTCCATACCAATATACACTCAAGAAACGAATTTCTATTGATGACAAATTAATAAAAATGAAGCTGACAGTTATCCTTGTCTGCATCACGTATAAACATCTTGTACCTTTATTCTCCTTCTGAGTTCCTGAAGTCTGTAAGAAATAAAAGATGTTTTAGCCCATCTATTTCATCACAACTGTAATTTAAGTTTATTTTCAAAAATCATTTTACCAGTGATTTATAGAGACTGGATTTTGGATTGATCCTCATTAATTGAGTAAGATCTTGCATAGTCCACAGCTTTGAGAGGAAAAAAAAAAGGTAAGTTAGAAAAGGTTAACTCATTTAAAATAATTTCAAATATGTAATAGGCACTATTTTACAGTTGTAGAATCTTGTCCATTTGAGAAAGATCTATTTATCGCCTTGTAATACCATTTTCAGAGGCCTGCTGTTCTAATACTGCATTTACTTACCTCCACTACCTAAGACACACATCAGCCAGCAGGTAGTTTCATTATATATTTTCACAGATTCAGCTGATCGTTTTATTTCCTCCCCACACCAGATACATGCTCCTGCTACTTTCCTTGCCTCTTTTCTTATCATACAAATCAGATGAGCTCACTAACCCAAACGATGACTAACTACTCACCAGGTCAAAATTTTCTGTTAGAAACTTCACCATATCATATACTCATAGAGGACACAAAGAGAGGGTAAGGACTGCCCTTTTCAGCCACAGCTTTCAGCTGAACAGCTTAAACTGACCATGAACCACACTTTCAGGGAACTGAACGGCCCAACCAGAGGCTAGCTTTAATCAGGATGAGTCCCCCAAGTGCTGCTACACAGCCTCACAAATGGTCATGCCAGACTGTGGCAATGGGTGAAGTAAGTGCAAAGTTGAGGCTTGTGTCATCTTTCCAGAACAGCATCATTAGCTTACTGCCAATTTAAAGTACTCACAAAAATGGCCCTGAATAATGAAATCTTTTATGGAAATGATCAGCTGTACGTGTTTGTATTTCACCATCACAAAAACGGATTGTTTTCAGTTCTGTTGGAATATGACAACCCTCAAAAAGCAAAGCTCCTAGAAGTCTGAGAAGAGGTATAATACTGAACTTACCTTCTTCTTCTCTAATCCACTTTCTGGAAAGAAAACAGAAAGCGAATACTCATAGCCACATCTCTGTAGATGATCTGCCACCAAACTATTGGAAGCCGTGATCAAAAGTGAACAGTCATCATTTGGAACAGCCTGTGGCCGAAGTTCTCCACTTAAAATTGGGTGCATTAGCTCGTGGATTAGCTGGTTGCGGAGCTGTGTCTGATACAGAAAAGACATTATATTCTCAGTTTACATGTTATTCAAAGAGAGTTTTTATTTTTCAAAATTCATGAGGAATCTCATTTTACTTGTACATGTTATACTACAACCTACGTAACAGAAATGGGCGAACTAAATCTGGCAAAATTTAGAAGAGTGCTTGGGACACTGTGCCTTTCTTCAAAACACTCTAATGGTGGCTACAGTGATCTTTGACATTCCCCTTAAAGATGTATCAAATGTAGGACTGAAAAGATGTTCTCAGTCAAGAACTCACCTAAACTCCACTCTAGTACCCCCACCTTAATTTTTAGATCACTGCTTTCCTGTTCTCCTTCTCCCTGCCTTAAATAAAGTCAGCCTGATGTGGTCTCAATTTCAGGTGTACTTGGAAAACTTGCTAGTCCTCTACTTAATCTTGTATCAAGAAACTGCTGATGCCATCACAAAAGCAGATGGGAAAATGAACAAGAACTTCAATGTCTTTAGTATCAATTATTTTGTAGGGAAGCAAAGAGTACCAATCGAAGAAACCTACAAGCGCTAATAATAATTAAATTGCATTTCTTATTATTTATTTGCATTCTATGAATTACAGTAGAGAAAAAAAAAAAAAAAGTAACCCAAAATCAGAAGCTCTCCCTCCTATAAAAGAAACAAATAATAATTTTCATTATATAATTGTACAAATTGTTTATAGCATACTAAGAGGTCACGTCAGAAATAATGTTTTAAGCTTTCAACAGCGGGTAGGCAAAAGGGAGAGAGTTGATTAAAGTAGTATCAGGTAACCAAAAATGGGACGAAATACTTACCAAAACTTAGCATAGCTACATCATCAGACCAGCCTGATATTTTAGCATGGCTTTCTACAGAAATTAGGCTGACAATAGAAACAAATTGAAAAAAATATTTTCCTTATTAATTTCTGAACTTGTCCAGTTTCAACCAACTTTGACAGAGGTTTTGTCTCAAAAACAGCAGAGCCCAGCAAACTCTTACACCCTGTGATGTTATACATCAAGAGCAGGTGGAAAACACAGGCCTAAATCCCTGTCCCTGCTGTGGGAAAGGAAGGCAGAAATCAGTTGTTACGTGTTGGGCATTCAGCACACCTGTAGCTCCAGATCCCCTCTGCCTCTTACCATCAGCAGCAGTCAGATCAGGCCACAAGAAAGTTGAGAGTATTCTCATTAGATGTACTCCATAAGAAATGCAACTGTATTAATTCTTCAGCTCAAAAAACTACAAAATCTTTAATATTTTATGTATGATCTTCTAGACAAGGAAAACAAAGCAGGAAAATTAACTTTAACAGCATGTCACCTAACAGACTATTAGTTAAGTCAAACAAGACAAGAAATGGTTCAAGCATTGAAAGCTTGGTATGGAAATCACTGAGGGAGAAACAAGTCGTCCTGAAAAGGGAATTCTTGGCAATAAGATTATCAATGGTATTCTTAACTATAGATTTTCTTTTCTTTATTTTTTTTTAATGAATTTGGTATAAAAAACAGAAGCTGAAAAATTTTGCTGGTGAAATAAAGATGCATATAGAAGTATAGAAAGATCAAGACGTCATAAAAAATGCAATCAGATGATGTTTAAAGACTAGTAAAATGGAAACTGACTGAAATACATTTCAGCATTTAAGGCCTGATACAAATTTCTGTTATAACACACAGGATTTATTGTTTGGAAAAAGCATGATATGGAAGTGTCAATCAAACAATGACTAGCACTAGACACGTAACATGCCTCAGAGAGACACAGGCAGCCTTCCACAGACTTTCCCACAAATATACAGAAGAATTAACATTCTAAACTTTAAACTTTGCCTGGAAAGCTCACAGTCATCGTGATCTGTTCCCTTTAAAAAAGGGGGAAACACTTCAGAGTGATACAGAACTACTGGGGTAACCAGCAATGAGACTACTGCACCTTGATTTGCTTAGCATTGTAGAACAGAATGCTGAAAAAAAAGGTATGACTGCTGCCTATAAATCATCAAGAGGACTAAAAGCTACTTAAACTGAAGGATACTTTAAGCACAAGAAAAAATGCCAGAACAACCATAAATAAATGCAGGCTACAAATCAGAACAGATTCACTCTTGAATACAACCATATTCTAAAACATTCTCCTGAGTAAGCAAATGGGGAGAAAAGATCTCAAATAGTGTTAAAACAGAACTGGAATATTTTAGGATTCATATAGCGTGCTTACTTATAGTAGGTAATAAAACAGACTCGGTGACCTAAGAGATCCTTTCTAATTCTGGATTCTCATTTATTCCTCTCTTCCCTGCTTGATTTTTTAATTCAAGCAAAGACCTGATATAGGCCTTTCAACATTCCTTTAAAAAAAAAAAAAAAACAAAACCACCTTTGGAGACTAATCCACAATGAAAAGCATTTCTATTTGCGAAGAAACTCATGTCTGGCAAAATAAATTAAAAGAAAAAACAAAACAAATCAAAACAAAACAAACCCTCAATCCAAAAAAAAAGCTGAATACCAATTAGGTTGTAGCAAAAATAATACATCTGCGGAGACTGGGAAAGACATTTATTCAGCATGACTTCCGCTGCTTTCAGTGTTAAGTAATACAGCAAACGGTGGGTAAGCACCTGCTGAAAATAAAGCACACCTTAAGTGTGTCCAGTACACCTCGGTTCTTAAAAGTCTGATAGAGCCTTTTCCGGAGTTCATCTTGGGACAGCGCCTCCCTCTCAACCGAAGCCATCCTGCCCTACAATACCAGGGGGAAAGAAAAAAAAAATAAATAAAAAAAGAAAAAAAAAATATATATATTATGGACTGCCATCTCGATCCACGGCCCGCGGGACGGCGAGCGCGCAGGCCGCCCCGGCCGCCCGCAGGCCCAGGCGTTGCCCCCCCGCGACCCACCGGCAGGACGGCAGGCCCCACGGCAGGCCCCGCGCCGCGCCCCGGCCCCCCGGCCCCTCCCTGCCCGCGGGGCGGCGGCCGGGCCCGGCAGCCGGCAGCCCGCACCGCCGGGGGTCGGGAGCGGGGCCCGGAGCGGCGGCGGGTCCCGGCGGAGGCCGAAGCGTCACGGCGGCGCCGGATGTCGGGGCGGGCCGGGAGGAGCTTCCGGGGGGCCGACGGAGCGATCGCGTCGCGGGGTAGGCAGAGGGCCCCGGCGGCCGTTCGCCCCCTTCTTCCTCCTCTTCCTCCCCTCCTCCGCCTGTTCCGCGGGCAGCTCCCGCGGCGGCCGGCCCTCCCCCTGGAGACAGCGGCCCCGGCGGGGCACAGAGAAGCCGCCGGCAGCGTGGGCGAGCCTCGGGGCGCGGCGCGGCGCGGGTGGGTGGGTGGGTGGGTGTTGTCGTTTCCCCCTGGGGTAACTCTGGAGTCCCCGGGAACGGAGCCGGGGCCGTGGGACGCTGTGGGACTGTCCCACGCCCGCTGTGTGAGGGGCAGGACGGTGCCCGCCGCCTGCCCCCCGCCCCCTTTCCCTCCCTGCCCGCAGGAAGAGGCAGCCGGGGGGATTCGTGGCCGCCCCGGGCCCTGGGAGGGGGGATAAATTAAATCGGCAGTCAGTTGTGGAGTGAGAGGTTTTAGGTAGTAGCGACTAGGTTCACTTCCAGGAGTTGTTCCGCTTTCTGAGGATATTTTCCACTGTTTGAGTATAAATGCGCATGCCTAAAAAAAAAAGCGTGTATCTCTCTTTAGCCTATGGTAAATATGAATAGGGAGCGTGTTAGCCGTTTTTTTAAGGAACATTTTCACACGGATTTTCTCTATCGACTGGTCGGCGTGTCTGTCTTTTCTTGTAGGGAGCACTGTTTTGAAGAATGTCCGGAAGTTTCTACTTCGTGATAGTTGGTCATCATGATAATCCCATATTTGAAATGGAATTTCTGCCTCCTGGAAAAGTAGAGTCCAAGGTGTGTTTTTCCCCCTGTGATACTCCTATGATGTAATTATGGTGCATTTTCTTTTATAATTTTACAGTCTATTGGAAGCATGACCAGCATGTTGTTAAAAGTGTTACTAGTTTCAGCTGGTTTGTGGTTTTTTTTTACAGAAACTTTGTCATAGGAAGTAGAGCTCTGGAGTTCTTGAGTCTGTTAAAAATTCTTTGCCAGATCATACTAGTTCTTCATAAAACATTGTTTCCTTAAATATTTGGTGCTGTATGGTGAAGATTATATATGCTAGTCATGCTTTGGTCATTGCTCTTACTTTTTAGAGCTTTTATAATACCTGTTCATTATTTAATGGTATTGACTGTCATTCTCTATTTTAAGGCATCTGTATATAGCGATAGGGTAACATAAGGAACATGAATTTGAAAGTTCTAGTCAGTCATTTATTCTCTTATTCTATAAAACTTTGTTTCTTAAACATCTTCAGCAGTCATATTTGCTTTTAAGTAAGAAAGGTTTAAAACTCGTATTGACAAATACGAGTTTGAAAATGTGAGAAATGTAAGACTACTCAGTAAGCAGTGCTTCCAGTGGGAAAAGAATAAATCTATCCATTGTGATATTACATCCAAGAAACAATAGACTTCAGAATAAAAGTGTGTCAATCTGTCAGTGTGTCCAGAAATGGAAGTATATGCCGTCGCTGATTTGAACAGCATGTCATCGTCTGTTTTTTGAACTGGTGTCCCATAAAAGATTGTAAATTAGACTGGTTGGACTAGACTTACTTACTGGGTGTGAGGATGTGTCAGATAGTGGAAGAATTAATTTTCAGCATTCTGCTAACGGAAATAGCTTGGCTCAGGTAAGCTTCTTGTCTGACTGACGTTGAAGTACTAAATTATCCCCTAAGAGAGGATCTGAACCTCATGTGCACTGAAGGAGAACTAGTAGACTTAGGTACGTTTTGGCAATTACCGCTTCTGTCTCTGAAACACGCCAGTTCAGAGTGAATTCAGTGCAGACTTACAGCCTCCTGAAGTAAGTGGTTTGCATAATGTACATGGTAAATCAGCACAAGCTTTTACCCCCTAAACTTCACTTAGTCTTTTCCTCAGTATGGTTTAATGGAACTGGCAAAGATGTTAATGACCTGAGCCAAACTTGGTTTGGAAAAATACAGTATGCTGAGAGGTGTGAGAGTGGCATTAATAGCATCCCTATACTATGAGAAACAGTGCAAGTGTACTTAAGCTTCCAGTCTAATAGGAGTTTACAGTATAGTTTAGTCCCACGTTTCTTCTTGGCAGGTGTCCTCCAGTATTCTAGCTTGTATACAAAGTAAATGGCTGTTTCCCCATGTGACTCTTGTAGTGTTAGGGCCAGATGCTGTGATTACTCTATGATGGCCATTCATATTTGTTACAGGAAGGGGTGTAATTTACATCTGCAAGCATATATTTGATACCAGTTGCAGGATGTTTTTCTGCACTAGGCTCTTACAAAAAAGAACACCCCCCCCCGCCAATTAGAAATCCTATGCTTCTAGGCAAATGACCTGAAAAAACAGAATCTTCAGGTGAGAATGTTACCAATGTATCTGTCCTCTGTATCTCTGCTTTCTCCACCTGTCCCCCAACTTTTACACATTGTAACTTGTTTCTGCCAAATTTAAAGAGAGATGTTATGATCCAGAAAATGCTGCATTCCTGTGAATTTCACAAAAACAGGTGACTGGAAAGCAGAAAAAAATACTTTCATCAGGGCCTTTGTTGTGGAATAAGTTTGCAGTGGGAGATTTCCCATCAGTAAACAAAATAATTCATGCTTGAATTAATTTCTGAGCTATAAATATAGGCTTTACTGGTTTTGCTGCTCTCAAGAATGTTTTTGTGGTGACCTTTTTATAAGGACTAATATATACTAGTTTCATTTAATTACAGGATGGCACAGATACGGCCAAAAGGAAGGGTATATATAACTTTATGTGACTTGAGCAGTAGTCGTTTAGCAACTTGAGCAAATTATTGTTAATATTTCACTCCTTTCACTGAATTACTGATCCTCTGTCTTCTGGAAATACATTAGGATGATCATCGCCATCTCAACCAGTTCATTGCCCATGCTGCTCTTGACCTAGTCGATGAGAACATGTGGCTTTCTAACAACATGTATCTGAAGACTGTGGACAAGTTTAACGAATGGTTTGTTTCTGCTTTTGTCACAGCTGGACATATCCTTCCCTTTTCTCTTTCCTTATATTTATACGGGAAAAGCCTTTTGCCAGAAAGGGACAGGTTAGATAAAATGAGTTTGGATCAGATTTCTCCGGCTATTCACCCCTACTATTGTTAGAGAGAGAGCTACCAGCTTCAGGATGAAGTAAGTTGGGAAGCACAGCAGTTGTTGAAAATTGGGACCAATTGGTAAATTGGATTTTTCCTTTTGGAGGAGCTGAAATAGCCTAAAGAAGTGTGGAGCTCACATGGAGTAGAGGAAAGAGGAGTGAGAGGGGAATAATATGAGAGGGTCTGAGTAAACTTACGTGATTCTCTGTTCCCATCCCTCTGATAGTGCTGGGAAGGAGGAGAGAGAAGAGGATAAGAGAAGTAGGGATAAACATGCTTCGTGTCAATCACACATATCTTGAAAATGTGGTGTCAAGACTTGATCTTATGTACAGGTAGTCCTAGAAGTGTTTGCAGTGAAACATTTCTTATACAGAACAAGTGACACTGAATGTCATTTTAACTTTGGGGGTATGTGGCAAAGGTGCTGAGAGCATCGTCCACACTCAGAATTGTCTAGCTTTAAAAATAATAACTTTGAATAGAGAGGTGATTATTTTTATTTTGAAATAGGGAGATTTTAAAATGTAAAGGTAATGCTTTCTAAATTTCACTGCTCCAGTTACTTCTTTTAATGCTTCCTCCTGTAGTCACTGCTATTTCATGAAAAACTAAACATTTTAAGTATATGCAGAATTAGATGTAAATGCTTCTCTCAGGACACGTTAAATGTCTCTTCTTTATAAAAGTTAAATTTTCCTTAATTGCATTACATATGAGATTTATAATGCTTCACGATGTAAGGCAAGAAGACGGAATTAAGAACTTCTTTAACGATGTATATGACTTGTATATAAAGGTAAGAACCCACTTCTTACGGCCTCCCTGCAGTATGTGTAAGTGTGTTCTGCTGTACGTGCTCGGGCATGCCTGTGTTAGCCTGTTTTCTCATGGGGGTCTCTGTAAGTGGAGAAGCACCTGTGCAGCCCACATTAGCCAGAGTTGATAGCATGTGCCATAAAGGCTGTATTTTACATTAAACAGGTTTTTCTAAATTGTTACAAACGGTGGTCTTTCAGAATTTCTTCTTTATTTTAGTCCGGTGATTTTGGGGCAGTACTGTGCCATTCATGGTGCTAACAAAAGCGAAGGGATGTTCTGCAGAAGGCTGGTGGAAGCGCTTTGCTCTCAGAACGAGTAGCCCGGCGGTCCTCCCACTAGATGGGGCAGTGGCAAGTGCTGACGGGGAGATGGCCACCTCCGCCGCGCCGAGCACTCGGTGATGCTCATTTCCAAAACAAACACTTCCAGCAGTGTCACGGTGGATTTGTTCCGAGGAGCTGGTACTAAGGGATGGCTGTGAACATGCACAGGGAGAATGCAAGGGCCTGGAAAGCGAGTGACTGGTTAGAAGGTCTGTGCTCCTAAGGGAGACTAAATAAGCTGAAAGCGAGTAATATAGTTGCCGTTTGAAATAACATTTTCCAGTGCTGGATGATGTGCTTATTGATGAATTTTTCTTCTTTCCTCAGTTTGCAATGAACCCATTTTATGAACTCAATTCTCCTATTCGATCCAGTGCCTTTGAAAGGAAAGTACAGTTCCTTGGGAAGAAACATCTTTTAAGCTGAGTAAATAAATTTCCTGAGTGAGTGCTTTTCCCGTACTTCCCTGATTATTTGAACTGTAGTTCTTCTGGTTAGTTTGCAGTATATTTGATACTCATCTTCTGAAGACTGACAAATTGGATGCTGAAGCAGCTTTTTTTTTTTTTTTTTTTTTTTTCCAACAGATAAGACCAGTGAAGCCTCTCTGGTTAAAACTTGTATCTTAAGAAGTTTTCATTTACATGTTATGAGAACTAAGTTTAAAAATGTCGGGGGCAGAATAGGTACAAACCGTGACGTGGGTGTCAATTCATATGCAGAATGTAAGCCTTTTACAGGTGGGAGGAAATCAGATCTAAATGCAGAAGACAACTCCAGTCATGATACGAGCAAAAGGGAATTCTTGACTGTTTGGCCTAAGTGGTTAATTTTGTTACAAAGTTTTCTATTTACAGTCCTTTGCTAGAGAACTTACTCTGCAGACTAACCTTATTCTTTGTGGTATTAAATCAGATCTGTATTTATATTGTAATGTATAATGTATGTATTATAAAGTGCTCAATAAAAAGAAAAGAGGATATATTAGCAAAGCTCTGTCCTCAGTATTTCAAGAAGTTTTGAGAAAAAAAAACTTAAAAGTTTTAAAGCTTCAAATTTAAAAATTACCAGGTGTTCAGTGCAATACGTGTTTAGCTGCAATGTTGCATCAATGAAATGAATGAAGTAGAACAGAACAGCTGTGTCTGCCCTGTCTTTAATTTTAATTCACCCATGGAAAAAAAAAAAACTAAATTTACACATGTAAGCCCACCTCTTTCCATTATCTCTGCAAGTGGTGAAATTTTCTTTTTGAAAATATATTTAGAGAAGGGTCTTTGCACCATGGAACTCTTTGTTGAGCCTTCAGAAAGGGATTATTTGGCCTATGTGGCTACTATTCTATTGTAAAATGTGGTTAGGGACCCTTTTGCAAAACTTGCCATCATTTTTAAACGGGCCATTTGACATATATTTGCCTCATATTTTGGTTAGTTTCACAATCTTACAAGTAGTCTGTTTTCTTTTGCAGAAATTCGTATATGCTATCTTCTTGGACTTTTTTTTAAATGTCTGAAAAGTAATTTCCAAAGGAAGTGGCATGCTGTTCTAAAAAGTACATTTTGCAGTCTGTATAATTAAAGGGACGTGTATGTGCTTTAAATGTATATTCAGTCATTATTTCTTTGTAATTTACACTTAGTGCTAAGCTGTCACTGCAAAAATAGAACCAGATACAAAGGTTGCAATATTTACCTTAAATAAAACAAGTGGTGCAGTATGGATGCCTGCTGAGTATACTTCAAATGATTTAGGAGAAAACTAGGTGATCACAGTAAGGCTAATGTTATCGGTGGGGTGACAAGTGAAGATGGGAACACTCGTCTTGCAGTGTTATTTCATAAAAACTGCATTATACAGCATTTTGATAATGTCATGCAATCTTGTGTGAATTGACTGATTTTTTTTCATGCTGTATACAGGAAAGCATCAGAAACACACTTGAGGTAAAGCATTCTCATTCATATGATAAGGAGCCATTAAGTTGGATCCGTTAATGCTGTTGTGTCCTCCCCAGTAGTACGATGGTTGGAAAAATACTAAGAGTTAAGACTCGCTGAGGAGATACTTATGTTAAATAATCGTATTTGTGGCAGTAAGAAAAGTTTTGGCAAAGATGAAGATTAGTACCAAGAGTTTCCACCACTTTTAGAAACCGTGGGGTTTTTGATAATTGTGTTTTTTCTGCCAGCACACAGTAGGAAATTATATAAAATGAAATAATTTTACCTCTTGCCTGGTCTCTGAAGGCAGTTAGCCAAATGGTGCCTGTTCTTACACCCCTCCCTCCCAATCTTTCCCCTTTTATTTTGAATATAGAATTGTAAATGGGAAATGCAGTCTCACAGGTCCATCTAGTCTTTATGAAAACAGGCTGTTACTGGCCACAGGCAAGGGAGAATTATGTGCTAATTCATTACATTAACCATTGTCAAGTTTGTGCTGAGGAATGTTGTCTCACACCAGAATTCTGAAGGACCTCAGCCAGGTATCTGTGATTTCTCTCTGTATGGAGTAACACCTGTTTATGCTTTGGTTTGTGACTCTTTACAATAAGCTGAAAGGAAGGCTGCTATCTGGAAGTGACAGGTGAAAGTTATCTTGTGATCAACTGTAGCCACAAATCTGCTTTGGGTCTGAAAGATGCAGTTCTAGCATGCATCAGACAATGAGCAGTTCCTCAATGGACAAGGCAGAAGAGATACCTCCTTTGCAAGTATTATGCTCCAGCTACATCTCAGTCTTAGGAATAAGAATTTGAATGAAATCTGTTGCAGTGTGAGAAAGCAGCAGATAACTTGCATTATATACAACAGAGGCAACAAGAAAGTTTGAGTTAAAGGGGCTGGAATTACCCTACACAGTACAAAAATCAAGCATAAGGAAATAAGAACATTACCATAAATTGAGAACATGAACCAGCAATTCTAAGCTGGAAATGCAACTTAGACTCAACTTTGCAAGGTTCTGTTGCTGTTTAGGGAACCTGTCATATGACCCAAGATCTGCATGAGGTACAGGGGAACTGTTAAAGCAGGCGGCCTGGTTCTGACAGCAGTCTTATGCTGAGCATCTGTATACTTCACTGTAACGTGAGCTGTTAGCTGTCCTAGCTTGTTTCTTCTGCCCCTTCCCATTTTGCTGTCTGTTTTAATATGCACAGCTTTCATCAATCCCACTGGATTGCCATGGCTGTATTGTCTCCTCATTTTAAAGGACACCTGGAACTTTGCACATGTATTGCACAGTATCTGCTCTGTCACTCTCCAGAACTCAAGTGCTAGCAGGACCCTCCAATACTTGAGGTACATGAGTCCTTGAAATGAATCCGTGAACTGAAACATAAGCCACAAGTGCCTACCTTACCTCCATGGTGACTGATAGATACTAAGCTTTCAAGAAGTACAGAAATGCCTGCTTGTTAAACGCAATGATTTTTTCTTTTGTACCCATCATCTACATCTGCTTGTCATAGGACTTTTTCCCCTTTAAAGTACTTGATAGTCTCCCTCTGAGACCAAATCCTGATCTCAACATAAATTCCTGTACTGTCTTAATTACTACAGCACGTAAAACCCCCCATCACTTTTGTGCCTAGTGGACAGTTGTGGTACAGCAGCTTCCAGGGCACAAGTAATACACTTCTATTGTATTAAATTTTATTTAAGTTTATGAAACATACTTCTCAGATGGAGGCTTGGCAACCTTGACGTTACATGGCAAGGGGCTAGATGGGGAAACACAGATGGACGCTTTGGCCCAGGAAAGACCACGGTGGTTCTCATCCTTAATTGCTTCCTTTTATCAATCTTATTTGAGTCATAGCTGTAGTACTTTAGTCACAGTAACTTCATCTCCCATTTTGTTTCGGCCTCAACCTCTGCCAAAATTAATGTTAAAGGAAACTTTTAGTAGCAAGGTAATAGTTTTACAAGTTCATGTCACTAGCTTAGTAGCCCCCAACACAAGCGATCTTTGTTTTTAAAGCTTTTTGCTCTCTCAGTTTAAGATTAGGAGGAATTTAGCTAAGATTTTCTTCATGGATCTTTTCATTCATTGCCTAGAAATTAAACCTAACAGAAGTAGCAGCTCAACCTATATTTTAGCTGTTAGGTGACTGAAGCTTAAAACAGAGTTCTGTTGCTATATATGCTGGACCGTAAGAATGAATTAGACTTAGGAATGTACAAAAGGTAAAAAGATGTCACTTTGAAGCAGGAGCAGCAGATCTGTGGAGTAAAGTCCTGGACAGGTTCAAGCAAGAATACAATACCTTCAGAAAAGTATATTAAGAGCGACAAGAAGGGTTTGTTTTGCAAGCTTTACTTCCAAATAATTACACCTTGTACAGACTGAACAGATTCCTTAAGAGAAAACTCTTGCTCTTACTGTACTCTGAAGAAAGGCTTTCCTATTGGAACAAAAAACTTGCTGTACAAAAGCAGAGTCTGTGTAGTTTAGTGAATAACATGGCCTGTCCTATAGGCCTCAGACTTCCTTCTGAAGTCCACAACATGTGTATGTGCATGCCTGTTAGCAGTCAGATTACACATTGAAGCAATAGTATGCTATCAAGTTTGCTATTACAAGGACAGTGGGTACTCTGAGAGCCAACATTCAACAACTTCTTGTACAAGTATTCTACCACTTAGCTGCAATGGAGAGCCTCAAATACACCACCTGTGGTTTCATCTGCATTACTGCAGGAAGACTGTCCATTAAATACAGAATTTGCTTCTGTTCATCATTGTGTAATGAATACAGTAATACAAAAAACATTGTCTTAAATGTGTAAGTCCATATCCTAAAATAGCTAATTAAATAAGGATCAAATCCAGCTCAAACACTAGCTGTAGGTATTTACTTGTATTAGGGCTGAAAGCTGTCACAATCTACTGTAAGTCAAGAGCTTCCTGAGTTCCCTATGTATTGCCAATCCTTAGTTTCACAGTGCAGAGATTACTAGTAAACACATTCACAGCTCAGGTTAACAGGAACAAGAAGTTTGGAACTTTAAGGCTGTATACTAAAAGTTCTCTTACAAATTTGTCATAATGTGGATCCCTTCAAGTGCTATTAAAGCTGACTGAATAAAGCATCTTTTTCATAACTAAAAATGGTTATACTTCAGTTGCTCAGATTTTTTACCTTTTTGATCAGAAACATGCTAGAATGGGACTTAAGGCAAACACAGGTATTAACTTAAAAATTCATCAGTATCTCACATTAAACTGTTGGAAAAATTAGTACAGCATTAGAATAGTAAATGAAAGGCAAATGGACATTAAATATGTAGGAAATTTACTTCCTACTTAAACCTACACAAATTAGAGCAACATTAGGCAATTAGAAGACGACCTGAAGGTAACTGGTATTAACTTAAAATAAACACATTAGAGATGAAGTACCACTCACAGCAAAAGGAATGTAGTGAGACTGAAATTTAATATCTAGCATTGTTAAGAAACTGACTTCTAGTGAAACAGAGATGGAATGCTGATTTCATAAAAATATACACATACAAAAGTATCTTTGTGCCTGAATTCCAGAACAGTTTCTCCAAAGTAGTGCTTCTAGAACTTTCAAGTTTTAATTATATTCAAAGTATTTATCATTTGAATAAAGTTGGCAAATTACATTCTTATATTAACGTTTCTGACACCTTCCTAAACAGAAAGTGTCACTAATTCAATGGGTCACTCAAGAATGGAAATTTTTATTTGCTCCCAAGACAGCAGCAGATTATTACAATTTTAATATTAGAGTGAAACCCATTTGTTATTTTATCTATTACACCTTCCCCATCCTTTTATAGAGCAAGCTAGTCAAAAGTAATTTGGCCAAAAAAAAGTTTTAAGTCAACAACAAGATGAACTGGGTTTTGGTTTCCGATTCAGGTTTACTGTATCTGTTTGAATAAAGTGATCTGATCTATCTTCTGAGGCTAGAACTCTTCTAACAGCTTCTTCAAAGGCTGCTGCAACATTAGTGGCATCTTTTGCACTGGTTTCAAAATAGGGATGGTTGCCATTATTCCTGCACCAGTCTTGGGCTTCTTCTGCAGACACTTGCCTTTCATCGATATCAACTTTGTTACCCAGTATCACAAATGGAAAACTTTCAGGCTCCTTGACATCTGCATAATAAATGAATTCTTTCTTCCAGTTGCTTAAGTTTTGGAAGCTTTGAGAGTCATCCACACTGAAGGTTAGCAGGCAACAGTCAGAACCTCTGTAGAAAGGAGTCCGCAAGCTCCTAAAGCGTTCCTGACCGGCTGTGTCCCATATCTGCATTGTAACAAAATGTCCATCAACTTCCAACTCTTTATTTAAGAATTCCACACCTATTGTGTGAAACAGCTGCACATCGAACTTGTTGGTGACATATCTGTTCATAAGGGAACTCTTCCCAACTCCACCATCCCCTAGCAGTATGACTTTCAGGAGGGATGATTTTGCTGCCATTGTTACGGGAATAGATCCTCCTGGTTTCCTAGACCTGTGAAGATTAAGAAAATCATTAAAAAGGAAAGAGTTGTGAGCAGAAAATTTTACACACATCAATATCTAGAAAGTGTTAAAGTCCAGCAACATAAAATTACATGTACAAAAGCAGAATGACTATGCTAAACAGGTAAAGTGTAGATACGGTAAGAACACCCACTCTAAAATGTTTTTAGGAGGTGTCTCTGCCACAGACTGCAGTCTGTATGGCAGTCTAAGCAGTACACTGCATGAATTACTGGTCTGACACTTAAAATACTTAAAACCTTTCAATGTTTGTGCAGAAGGAGTATCACATCACACCCAACGAGGGCAGTGATACATTTATGTTCACTGAAAAAAGATCCATGGAAGAAAGAGGAGTGAGAGAATTTTATAGAGCACATGGCCTTGAACTAGTCACTTCAGTGCCATATTTCATTAGCAAATTTATTTTTTAACATGCAAAAGTGAAGAGGAAACTTTAGGAATAAAGCAGGACACTATCTGCTATACCAGAGTAACTGCTGCGCTTCACCCAAAATTGCAACCAGACAAGGTACTGTAAATGAACTCACAGGGAACACAGTTATCTAGAGAAGAAATGCAAATGCTGTAAATTAAAGTCAAGTGACTAGGTATTGGTACACAAACATTCAGTATTTAACAGTTCACTCCTTGCAGAACAGCCATAATGAATGGAATAATTTACAACTAGTACAAAAGCAAATTCACTGTTGCTACTTCAAACGGTAGTCAAGATGCCAAACACTGAGGCCAAGTCTACACCAACAGTTCAGTTAGTAGGTGTCAACTTCCCGTGGTAAAACTGTCAAAAAGCCTGGAGGTGCTAGTGAAGAGCCTGGCTGCCAGCACAGGAATGGTAAATTAACTGCACCAATGAAGCTTCTTTACTGTCAGATTTTAGTGTTAAAGGATTTTCTTTTTTTTTCTTTTTTTTTTTTTTTTTTTTAAAAAAAAGAAAGCAGGTAGCTCATTAGTGTTTTGTGCCAGCCCAAGGTTTGCCCTTACTACAGCAGTGTCATCTTATACTGTAAAAAAGCATTTTAATTGCCTGGGGGCAAAGTTTCATTTTAAAGAGCCCAAACTTAAGGTTCTGTATGAAGAAAACCGCTGCTCCTATACCTACCTGTTACTAAAAGAGTTCAAAGTAATTCAGCCAAAACAGGCTTCTCTGAAAATAGCGTCTGTTTAAAATGGAAATGGGTCATAAGTTGCCTAGTCCGTCTCCTTCTCTGAAGGAAGGAATGCAGTCTTGCTAGTTGTAATTAGCATTGCTGGCATATAGATCACCCACAGAGTATGGTTATGGAATTAATACCTGATACAAGCTGGCATCAGTCATGTGGCTCTGTTCTGCCTTAGAATCAAAGCCTACACCAGAAGCAAGAAATTTCAGGATTTTTTTTGTTTTTAACTTTCCATCTTTGTTTGTTAGACACAATCTATAGCTGAAGTCTCAACACAAAAACTTCAAAATATAAGGAATAGTGGCTGCTTCCATTAAAAATTTGTTTGAAGTGAGTAATTTTTAAAAAACAATGTTTATAAATCCTTAATATTTCTACCAGTTTGTATCACAACAATGTTAAAACTCCTTAAGAGCTACAAGTGGATTGTTCATTTGCCTTTCACAGAGCTGTGGTATAATTGCTATGGCTTAGGATATGAACACATATGTCTTTATGTATGTGAAAAGCCTTATTAGTCACCAGCCTACTTACACATGATTTCCATGTTCATGTTGAAATATTTAGAATGGTCCAGTGTCTTCACTTATCACCCTAATTCCTACTACTGGTTAACCAGTAAGTTATCTGAGCTATACCATTAGATAGTAGCATCTTAATAAATGCATTCATGAGAACAGAGGGTACTGAATGTTTCCTTGTTCTTCCCCTTCACTGTAGGAACAAGTTACTTTTTTTTTTTTCTGTCCTCTGAAATTACAAGTTCCCTAGAAGACATAATGTGAATAAAAAGCTGACTTAGTAGTTCTGACTGGTACAATGCACTTCTTTCCTTAGCTTCTACAGTTTGAAGAACTGCAGTTATCATCATTAAATTCTCCATGAAGCCACACTTTAAACAAAACACAAATAAGGAAACTCTGTTAACAGTATCCAGTACTTTTGTGCATCCAGAACCTGAGAAGTTAATTTGCACAACTTCAACTACAGGGACCATTACAGTGAGGTCTAGGAGACTGATGACCATAAAAACATTTTCACTGGGCAGACAATTATAGACCAGCCACAAACCATTAGAAGTGTATTTTTAACTAGAACCTACACAAAGGCTACAAAACAGTCTTCCCAGGGCTGATAAGCACATATCTCAATGTGATGTTGCAGGCAACGTTACTTCATGATATTCAGCTTTCACAGTAAAAGCTGTCATGCTTAGCTAGCAGTTCATGTTTTTGTGAAGTTTGTAATGCAAAATAAATGGGATATATGTTCAGTCATTTAAGTACATACTTACAAGCTGGATCTGAAACAGCAAAGCAGCATGTTTAAAGGCATTAAGAAGCATTTTTGTTTGGAAGCAGCAAAGACTTTATACAATTACAATCTATCTGACTATATAAGGGACTCCTCTTTAGCCCCACAAATTACACGATTTAGAGTATCTGCAGAACCAGCATGGTAGTTTTCAGCACAGTAGGCTGCGTCATTTATTCCACTTACACATCTTCAAATAAGTTAAGATTTTTAAAGAACTCAATTGGTGGGGTTTTTTTCCCCTACGTTATGAAGCCTTAATACTCCAACAAATAAAATAACAAAATCCTTAAGATGCCTGGAGAATTAATGTTATTTCTCCTACTACATGTTTTGAACTTATCTGCATTGTGTGCTTTTTGACAATGTTTTTGGAAGGAACAGTCAACTTCTGTTATCATATTTTGGAGGATTTATTACCCTAACAGTTCAGTTTAAATTACCATTCAGCATCTGAAAACAAAACTTGATTTCCAACATGCATCTGATTGTTTTAACCAACATTAAGAACTGCAACACACCACAGAATTACAGATAACTATTTGTTCTAGTTATTTCTTACATTAAACCAATTGTGCAGCACAGCAAGAATAGTCTCAACCTAATACACAGAAGAGTCTGTAAAGAGATTTCTCCCTCATGTCAATATTCAAAGAAATAAAGAGCAAATAAAAAGCAGCCCCAGTCTGGCCCATTTTGATAACCATCTCTGAATTGCCTCCACCAACTCATAAGAGTCGAGCTCTTAGACCACTGACTTCCATATTCCTGTTAAAAATAGGGAACTGTTTCTACTAAGTGCCATTTCTAACATGATCACATATCATAATACAAATAGTAATTTAATTGTCTCCTCCCAGAACTTCCCTTTTAAATAGTGAGCTGAATTAAAAGTCTGAAACATTTCCACAACCAGTCCAAACATTTGCTGGCAAGACTAAAACCAACATGCTAATCAACTTCAAAAAAAATCATTGTGCATTACAAAATCTTTGATTCCCAGCCCCTTAAAGCTTGGAGGAACACCACTGCCTTGTCCAATCTAGCCATCTAGATTTTTCTTAATTCCCTGACAGTCAGCTTCATAGCTGCCTCTTTATTTTGAGTGCAATTACCTCTTTTAACACCTTGGTACTGAGGCAGCACTAAAAGTGATATTTTTGGTCTAGAAAACCACAGGAGCACCACATAAGTTTAGTCTAGATATTTGCCTTTTTTTACTATAAAAATCATTTAATAGATTAAGGAGGACCTGCTTATACCAGAGCACTGAAGGCTGAAGACAAATGCTGAACTCAAGTTATGTCTATGGAAATACACTGTTAGCCAACACAGTAACTGCATAGTATCTGCCATGTCAGCAAGTACAGAAACTACTGAACAGAGTCAATTGGACCAATTTATAGTTTCACTTTTACCATACTGATAGCAGGCACCGCAGCACACCAATTAAAAAATAAGATCAAACCACATAGCAACTGAAATCTCACCTTTTTTAATAAAAGACACCAAAAACCGGGTCTCTTGAAATAGCACCACCAATTCTCTCAGTATTCTTGAAGAAACAGATGTAGGGGACACTTCAAATTTCCAGACTATCATTTCTACACTTGTACCTACTTTCTAACTTGGAAACAGGCAAGAACATTTATTTCAGTCACCATTTTCAGCCAGGAATCACTGATGAACCACCTGCTATATGAAATCAAGACTAAACCCAAAGGTTTCCTTGAAGATATCTGGTACCCTGTCCTATAACTAAAGTCGTTAAAGAGCACCCATTTGACTTGGAGAAGGAAAAAAATGCAAGATAAGGCAGACTCAAGTTTGCTCCAACTCATCACGTTTATTTACAGTGTAATATGGTTTCAGCTAAGACTGCACAGAAAAAGGGGCCATCTTTGCTAAAGATTTAAGAAAAAACTCTCTCCAAGTTACCAACAAGCAGAATTAGCAGTTCTGTAACTAGCCTAACAGTAACACTGACCATGTTTCATAACTTCCTGTCCTCAAATTTACATATACGCACCACATCAATTTCAGCTTTGAAGCTTATTCACAATTTTCTTTACTAAGCCATCTTATTCTCTTAAACCACAGGTATCAGACATTAATAGTTTAAAAAGGCACACAAACACTTCCAAGTATTTTGTCTGACAAACACTGGCTTTTCAATAACAAAGTAAACCTACTCCCTCATTAGTAATTTTTTTCCTTATCACTAACAAAGTATTTGCCAGTATTTACCAGACTAGAATAGAAAAAAAAAGTTTTATCTGGTTTGTTAGTTGCACTGGCTCATCAAAAAAATGACATAAATTGCTTCTCTGTGAAATGTCTGAAAAAAGTCCCACAAACTATCAGAGATGCAGCAGCAAGGGCACAATCCAGAACTATTTAAATTAGATTTCAACACTTACACTTACTATTTGTGGAGTTTTTACATCTCTCAGCCCTTATTCACTACAGAGTAGTTATATTTGTCACCTATAGCAGATCTCCAAGTTTCCAGAAATCTGAAAAGACAAAAGCAAGTTTTCTCCCTTTTCTCTGCTTAGCCAATCCTTGTTCTTGCATTTAGAAGGTACTGGTTTACACCCTGGCCAATTAAGTGGCACAAGAATATTTTTTTTAGTGCGTAGGAGGCCACAAGCCTGTTTGACCTTGAAAGATCTTGCTCTCTATTCAAGAAGAAACATATAGATATGAAGTCAAGATGGTACACGCTTTGTACTTCAGAATGCATTACAAGCTCAGTCATTAGCCTCCAAACTGACCTTCCCCTCCATGGGGTACCGACCTAAGAGCTGTGGATCAGGAACACCCCTTTACTGATGGCCACTTGCCAGCAGCTTAGCTCTCTGGATGCCTAGAAGCCCTTCAAGCATATGGCTCGACCTACTGAGATCCTAATCATCTTGCAAGTCTTCCTTCCTTTACGATTTCACCATTGCACTGTGAAGGTAGTCTATCTTTTCTGTTGGACAGACCTTTAATAATTTGATGACAGGTTATCTGAAAATTGCCTCCAGTTGTAAGCAGCCTAGACACACTTTATCAATGCCAGAATATCGTTAGAGCTTATTCATAATAATCTGCAACACAACCCAAACTGAACTGACATACAGCTGTTGCCACTCATTTGTATACCAAGAAGTTGTGTTTTGGGGTTTCTTTATAAGTTTTTTTAACTCCTACATAGTTCAGGACTCTACTTCATACAGTTGCCTGGCATGACGCGGGACTACAAAAGCAGCAGCAGCCAAGGGAAGGACTCCTTAGGTCTACATAACCTCTGGATCATGAAATCATCCCAGTACCTACTGTCAGAATCACTTCCTTTTTGCTAACTTCTATCTAGCCATAAATTCAATAAGGAAAACTTGTCAGGAGAAATACCTACATTTATACCTTTGTTAGTTTAACCTTGCAGAGACCCGGCCTTCACTTTCCATCTTGTTCCCCACATTCAAGCTGAATGAGCAAACTATTTCTCTGATTTAATCAGAGTTGACATTTCTCAGCATCTCCCAGCTTAAATTACTTTCAGCCAACTTCAAAACACCCTTAGGTGCTGCTGCTGCTCTTGGTCCAACATTTCTAACAATTCATGAGTTAAGTGACATTTTCCTTGCAACCTACTTCTTTGTTACTGTTTCTGCTCTTTCAACAACTTATCAAGCAATTATTTCTGCTTGTATGTGCTCCTCTTTCTCCCTTGCATTAGTTTCCCTTTTCCTCCAGGGACTCTTAGCAGTAACAGCCTCTGTTGGCCAGGCTACATTGTGCATTCATATTTTTCCCAATATAACTGTGTGACCAAAGCCCATCCCTACAGGACTAAGTGGGTTACACTGTACCAGGCCAACATACTGTCTGCTCCGTAGAGAGTGAAAACAAAAACAAAACACCAAGGAGAATGAACATTATTTAAAAAAAAACCAAACACCCTTAAGGAATTCTTACAAGCCTTTTTGTTGGGAAGTTTTTACTCATTGCGAAACATTTATGTAAAATTCTAGTCCTAAGGAGCTGAAAGATCTGTTTCCCATGGTTTGTTACTAAATTGACACAAAATAAAATACAGCTTGAAATCTAAATACTTCATCTGACTCTCTGCATTTTTTTCCACATATTTTCAATTTAAGGAAACTGATGGTTTGTTTGACTACTCAAAAGTGAAACAAGAACTGCTAGAGCTTTTTTTTTTTTTTTTTTTTAACTAAACATTCCCTATTTCTAACTTAATGGAAAAGGCCTTACTAAAAATTAGGGCAACAGAGCTCCATACGACCTGAAGGAAGACAGAGAAAATTAGTAGTTCAGTACAAATTCCACATTGATACTAAAACACAGATGTAGCTGTACCATCCTTTGGCTAGGTTTCTCTAGAAATAAAAGCACTAGGAAGAAAGAGTTTTGGATTTATTCTGGGTACGTCTGAGAAATATCTCTCCCTTCAGCCTGCCATTACAGCTTATTACCTTTTAAACTACTAAAAGGTCACAAAAAAATCCAGCCAAAAACTCAGCCACACACAACCACCCTTGCTCTAAAAAAAGCAAGCGCTCACAACTTCAGTATTGTACAACACTTTAAAGACAAATAAAAACCACATGCTTATATAGGGGAGCTGTAAATTACTGTGGACAAGGAAAGAGGGAAAACAACATGTAGGGCAGAAGACTGCATGACAGCTATCTGTAGACAAGCGTTTTAATTCCAAGACAAAATTTAGCCAAGGAGTTCCCTACTTGCCTATTCCAAAGTTAATAAAGTGCTCTCTATGTATCTAGTTCTATGTAAACTTGCTATAAAGGCCACTAATACAGGTTTTTAAAACTATTTTTCTTGTACTATTCTGTTATTCATTCAACTATTTTGCACGTTATATTCAACATAGAATACTAACACTAACTGCTAATACTATTACTACTAACTACATAATAATATATAATACTAACTGCTCATTAACCATTCAGATGTGATTCAACAATCTTAGCCCAATCCTTTTAGTTCTCCAGCCATCACCACATCTACGTTTGTATAACCGTCTGCCACGATCAGAAAAGTAACTGGCCGTTGCAGGGGAGAGCTAGATCAAGTCACTGGTTCAAAAAAACCCAAGAACTAAGAACTACACTGCTCAGGGTCCCCTTGCCAACACAGAGGTCCTCCTTCAGCAAGCAGCAACAAGAAAAGGCGGTAGAGAGATGATTCCCCCCCACCCCCACCCCCCCCCGCCGGTTTGAGAGGTGTTGAGGGGGCAGGTACAAAGCCGAGTTTCCCCCCTGGCAGCCCACAGACCCGCACCGGCGCTGAGGCCGCCCGGCGGAGCCGGAGCCCGCCCGTGCGCCGCCGGGGAACGGCGCGGCGGGAGCCGCTCCCCGCAGGAGCCGTCACGGGATCCCCGGGCACGCCGCGCCCCCCCCAACCCCCCACCGCCCTCTCCCACAGCGGCCCCGGGGCTCGCGGCGGGCCGGCACCGAGCGAGCAGCGGACCGGCGGAGCTCGGACAGCGGCGGGGAGCGCGGCCGAGAGTCGGGAGGAAGGAAAACGACGCAACCCCAGACAGCTCCAGGCCGCTTTCCCCCCGCCACCCCCCGAGGCTGCCGGGGAGAGCGGCCGCCTCACCCCGCGCCGGCGGGCGAGGAGAAGGAGAAAGAAAAAAGGAAGAGAAAGCCCGCGGCGCGGGCCGCCCGCCCCGAGGCACCGGGGCCGGCGGCCGCTGCTGGCCCGCGCCTGCTGGGGAGAAGGGAGGGGGGGAAAGCGCGGCCCCGCCACGCCGACCGGTACCTGCCCGCGAGAAGGGGGAGGCGAAGGGGGCGGCCGCCGCCGGTGCCGGTACCGGTGCCGAGCCCGGGCTGCGCCACCGCCCGAAGCCGCCACCGGCCGCTGGGGAAGCAAGAAACAACATGGCGGAGTGGGCAGGGGGCGGGGCCCGCGGGGATCACGTGAGCCGAGCTCCGGGCGCCCGGCCCCGCCCTCCCGGGAAGGGGCGGGGCGAGGCTCGCCCCACCCACCCCCGAGGCCCCGCCCCCAGGCGGGACGCGGGTGGCCCCGGGGCCGGGGCGGCGCCGCTGGGGCGGGGGGACGGACGGACGGACGGACGGACGGGGGTCCCGCCACAGCCCTGCGAAAGTTTTGGCCTCGGCAAGGTCGGTAACGGGAACAGCCGTGGTCACAGCGAGCGCACGGCTCCGGTGTCCCCAGAGGGCCGCACCTCTCACTGATCACCAGCTGTAACACGTGGAGCAGCACCGTTCTACCGCAGGAGGGTAAGGCTGTTCGCCCTAGTGTGCTCTGAGCCGAAACGCCTCTACACAGCATCTGCAGGTCAGAGTTACTGATTAAAGGCAGTAGTCTCACTGTGCTCCGCAGCAAGGGCCCCGTGTCAGGAAACTCACGACTGTAAGGCAGCTTTGCTTCACAGGCAGAGACATCTAAAAATACACGTGTCAGTGAAGGAACTAACCAAAATCCAAAGTATTCTATTTAAAAAGAGTAGTCAGACATTTCTTTCTGTATTCATTCACAATAACTTCAACTTGACTGTTTATAAAAAGACCACAGGAAAAACAGTCTAAAGAAGCTGGTAATAAGAGCCTTTTCTGTGCTCTTACAACTCACCACGAGGATAGGGCAAAATGTAATTAAAATGTAAGGAACAGAAATTATTTCAGTTTATTTAAAGAGGTTCCCACATCATCAAGAGGAATAGGCGATGACGGGCGTAAGGAAAGAGCATTTGAAATACACCCGTTTGCTCAAGCAGTCATCACATGCTTCCGATCATAAGGGAGATGCAATCGGATTGGAATTGCCACTTGCAGAGTCATCTTGTTTTGGATCGGATTTACAACATGGCCCAAGGAATGGAAAACAAGATCTCAGTATCATTGAAAGGAAATGTCTCATACTGACAGGAGCAGGATTATCAAAAGGCAGTCCATGCTAGAGGCAAATCTGATAATACTAGATGCATTCTTATTTAACAAAGCCGGACTTTGAAAAATTTTAAGTACTTTTTTACTGGGGTCTGCTTTCATCCAGTGCTGAAGAAAAATACAAGGAAATGCTGGAGGGGTAGAAAAATGGCCTCTTTAAATGATGGTGATTCTAAGACATAAGTTCTGATCAGTTATGGCATTATTTTCTGATTTAAAAAGAAAAAACAACCCTGCATTTAGAAGTGGAGGAAATAATTACTCTATTTTGTACTTGATACATTGTGGGATGAAGCTACCATCTTTTTTTCTTGAGACAGCACTGGTTCTCAGATACTTGGATACATTTAAGGAAATTTAGAATCATAAAATAGTTTGGGTTGAAAGGGACCTTTAAAAATCATCTAGTCCAACCCTCCCTGCAACAAGCAAGGACAACTTCAATTAGGCCAGGTTGCTCAAAGTTCCATCCAACCTGACCTTGAACACTTCCAGGGATGAAGCAGCTACCACATCTCTCAAAAACCTGTACCAGTGTTTCACCGCTCTCATCATAAAAAATTTCTTCCTCATATCTAGTCTGAATCTACCCTCGTTTAGTTGAAAACCATTACCCCTCGTCTTATGGCTACAGGCCCTGTTAAAATGTTTCTCCCCATCTTCCCTGCAGGCCCCCTTTAATTACTGGCAGGCCGCTATAAGGTCTCCCCAGAGCCTTCTCTTCTCCAGGCTGAACAGCCCCAACTCTCTCAGCCTGTCCTCACAGGGGAGCTGCTCCAGCCCCTGATCATCTCTGTGGCCTCTTTATGTCCTTCTTTATGTTGAGGGCCCCAGAGCTGGACACGGCACTGCAGGTGGGGTCTTATGAGGGTGGAGTTGAGGGAGAATCCCCCCCTCGCCCTGCTGGCCACACTGCTCTTGATGCAGCCCAGGACACGGTTGGCTTTCTGGGCTGCAAGCACACATTGCTGGGTCATGTTGAGCTTCTTGTCAATGAACACCCCCAAGTCCTTCTCCGCAGGGCTGCTCTCAATCCCCTCATTCCCCAGCCTGTATGGATAGCAGGGGTTGCCCTGACCCGTGTGCAGGACCTTGCACCTGGCCTTCCTGAACCTCATGAGATTCACATGGTCCCACTTCTCAAGCTTGTCCAGGTCCCTCAAAATTTTAAAATTTGTTAGAAACAAAAATCTTAAGCTTCTGAGATAAGATGTACTGTCATTTCTTTTACATGGGAACATAAAAGAAAATAGGAAAGAACCGTGCTGTAACTATGGCCTATTACACTTACGATTTTATAGTCATAATGGAGTATGAATAGAACTACTCTTAGGGTTAAAACACACACATGCGTGCTTGATGATCAGGAACTGAAGGCTCTTTTCCCATGTGTCCACCCTGTTACTGTTACTCATATATGTAACAAAACCAATAGTTGCTGTAGAACAATGAAAAACTGCTGAACAAATAATGCCACTGATGGGACTGGTCACATGAAGTACTCCTGCCAGTGCGTAGGAACAGACAGAAGAAAACGCCCAGCTAAGATGTGGTTTGGAACACGTACACCAAAATCACTCCTGTTTTAAATTCTGCAGACGGCACAGGGTCCCGACGGTGGGTGCTGTGGGCTCTGCCCCTGCCCGAGGCTGCTGCCTGACCGTCCCAGTGGCTGTGAAAGGGCTGGGGCAGTGCTGGGGGCTGGGGCAGCTGCCTCAGGGTCCTGCCGCCAAAAGAAAAGGAGCCACATCTCAGCTCGGGCCCTGTCCGATCCCGGCAGCCCCGGTCCTGCACCCCAGCTCATGCCCCAACCCGTATTCAACAGCCCCACCTCACCACGGCCTCCTCCCCACGGACTTGTCTGGTGCTCACTGGAGTTCTGGCCGATTACCGTCACCAGACCTGCCCTGCTTTTCTTGCTTGGGTGCTGTGGGGCTGTGACCCTTTTTCCTGAAGCCACCGTCCCTGCGTGCCCACCCGCCGCTCCTGGCTCCCCTCCTCTTGCGCAGCAACCCACCCCTCATGTGTACGTTCGTCTGAAAGCTGACTTTGCACCTTAAGGATTTTATTCACAGAGCTGTATTCATGAAGAGATAGTTGTTGTTATGTCATGTGCTAGCAAACAGCACAAATAACATCCCAATGGCAAATAAAGGGCATTTTTTTTGTGCGTGTGTATGAGAAAGTTCTGTATCAGCAAAGCTCTTGTATAATAGAGCTTGTGAATAATTCTTTTTACCATCTGTAGTTGGCAAGGAGACTTTGTCCCATCCTGGCAAGTGATGACATAGCCTCAATAAAACATGACTTTGTCACCTCCTGGCTGAATTACAGCAGTACGAAATAAGGGGATATGAAGTCATCTGCCTTTATGGCTCTGTTAATACCAGAATGCAGCAAGCCAGCCCCCAAGCGATCCAAGAAATTATCAAAGTGCTCTTGTTTCTTTCCTTATCTTCCAGGCACTCAATGAACTGGGCCATTACACCCTGAAGATTCCCTGAAGGACTGTAATTCAACATATTTGCTCCTTAACCACAGCCTGTTACCAGGTAACTTTTCTTTTTGCCAGAAAAAGAGCTGTTCTTTTTTTTTTGTTTAAAGAGTTGCAGTTCTTGGCTTTAGTAACAAATGTACATAGCACAGCTGACAGAAAGGAATATATTTTAAATAAACAATAAACAGCACAAATTTCCTTTTGGTTTGGAAAGGAAGAAAGGGTCATAAACAACAAATGGCAGCTCAGTACCTCCCTGAAAAGTGCTACAGTAGGAGGGTTGTGAGGGAAGACACAAAAGGCCCTCAACAGAACAGAATGAGACGGATCCAGCAGTGGATCTCCAGGAACCAGAAGCAGTTTTGTCACTGGTGCTAAGGAAGCAACATCTACGCCAATTAATAGAGCACTTCTCAGAATAATATCAATGCTTTTACATCTAAAGTTATGTAAAATTCATCATTAATTTAACTCATGTTCTTAAGGCACCTATTACAAGTTCTGCAGCTACAGGCTGCTTGAGCTTTGAGTGCAATCTATGTTTAACTCCTTGTTGCTACTATTAAATCATAGGATTCAAGAAGCAGCTGAATTTAGTGTCTCTGGAAAACCCAGTGAAAACAAGTGTAGACTTTAGCCTTATTTGGCACACATTTGTCCTGTGTCTCTGTGGATCACCTCTAATGTCATGTTCCTCTGTGGAGTAGCATCATGGATATGCTAAACTTTGTACCAGTATTAACTGTCTCTGCTTAAAGAAGGTAAGAGATCTTTTCCCCATCTGAAACAAACTGAAAAAAAGACTACTTAACAACATAAAAGAGTCTCACTTTTCAAAGCTTTCCTTTAATTCTTTTTTTCTGGATTCCAGTACTCCCTGGACTCCAGTAATCTAGACCCTCCTGCTAGGACATACACTGTGTAGTTGCAAGTTGACTTTTTAGAGCCATTTTGAGCCAAAGCATACAATCTTATCCAGTCAAACATTTTAAGCCTGTGCAGTTGCACAATCTGGGTAGGGACAATATAGCCTATTGACAAACTCTGACCTGGAGTAGTACTTCACTTAGTGCAACTATGACCACACCTCTTTAAATAAGAGCAATGATTTACTTGAATGACCATTTCTCATATTTGGCACTTCATGTCTGTACAGTATTCTGTTATATAGTGCCACAAGACACTACGTGACATCTGCTTTCTACTAAACCTTTCAAGTAACGAGGTTTGGATACACAGTTGGAAAAATGGCCAAATGTGAAAATAACCAATGGCATAAGATGATTAAGAAGGTAATAAAATAATTCATGATTTTGTTTACACTTTCACTAACTGCAAATGTGAAGTTGCAGGCAGCATGTTTATCAGCATGAACTAGGCATAAAGTGAAACCGGACTTAGATGAGCTTTTTCACCAGCCCTGGAACACCAAAGCCTCATTTCCTATAGATTTGTGTCCTCAGCATACTTGCAATGGGCCCAGTTCACTCTTCCTGCTTCCCAATACTTTCTGCGCCTTTCTGCTAGTACTCCCAGATCTCCTCCTTGTCCCAGACTACTATCTGGGCAAGCAGCAGCATATTTTGTGCCTGGCTTTTAGGTAATACCAAGAAACTAGCAACTCTGTGTGTGCTGAACCAGCAGCTCGCAGCTTAGACTAAGTAACTCCTGAATAAAAGTAAAGGTTCCATCTCTTTCAACAGAAACAGAAATGCTTTTCATGATTACTGGATTTCACAAAATTCACAAATATATGCTCATCTTCTAATGTCTAGCTGTAAGTGGATTTGTTACAAAGATGGCTCTCAGGTTCAGTTGTTATTGAGAAGGCAAGCAATGGAGGAATGCCTGCTCACAATGTATTACCACAGAAAACTACTTTAAAATGCAGTTTACAACTGCGAGGGTACCAAGGACTTGCCCTAAGAGTTCTGACTGCTCTTGGTTTGAAACACATGGAAAAGAGTTAAGGGACAGTTGTAAAAGGGGCATGGTCACAATCTATTTTTTTGACTATATGTAGTTACTGACAGCTGTTTCTATACCATAAGGTGCAACTGCAGTTGTCGGTAACTCGATTTTATTATTTCTACATCTTAGAAGAAAGGGCAAAATGCGAAAGGCTAGAACCAAACGACCCTCATGCTGCTGCAGGCACAGCTGACTCAGATCCATAGTGAGGCAGGCTTGCTCAATGATTTGAAAAGGTTTTAGGATATCTGCTGTTTACATTTCCTTAGCTGCTCAGTAAATATGGATCCATCAAAAAACCCAGTCATGTTGGGGCATAGAGCGTAGCATTATACAATTAGTGATGGGCAGTTCCAAAGAAAATGATGTTACACATTACATCAGCAATGTAGTCAGTATTACAGGTACAAATTTTACCCTTGAAATAAATATATTCTGTTAAAACCACCGTCCATGCCTTGTAACATTTCCCTTTGCCAAGACAAAACTTGGATGAACTGTACATTACTGGAATGGCTTCAAAACCATCTGCAGGCAGAGGTTATTTACAAGTGTCCATTGCTCATAGCAGAAATCAAGTCTCCTGCTACACAGTGTTCTGACACACCACAACAGAGATGTACAGCTCTCCTCAACAGGACCATGACCTCCACACTGACAGCACACAACTCTGTACTTACTGTGAACCACTAACTCAGAAATGTTTGCTTTCCTATGGTTTTACTGAAAGCTAAAAATAATGCTTTACACAGAAGTACTTCCACTTAAACAGGCAGGACTACTTGTAATCATCAATTCCAGCACAGGGGCAGGGAAGGAAGGTCAGATATTAACTGATCGGTTATACAGTTGAACACCATGGGTCTGGCCTAATGCTTTAATATCTGTTTTACGTCAGTGCAATTCCACTAAAACACACATTTGCACATGACAAAAATCTAGGTAATGCCACAGTAAATCACACAGCTGAAAGTTAACTGTTAACACTTCTCAAAATGGAAATGTTTTTTTTTTTTTCAGTAGAATAGTAAGTTCCTGTTTGTAACATCAGGTTACGCACCATTTTCACCACAGACAGATAAAAGTCTGTCTTCTCTTTTATTTTTAGTCCTGGCTGGCTTGTAGTTCCCCAGCAGCTATTCTGTCATGTCATGCCCCTAACTCCTTTCTCTGACCGGCCACGTGGCTGGAGAGATCCAGGGCTGTGCCTTAGCCCAGAGAAGCTGACCAGCCTCAGCTGTGTTACAGCTGGGTGGGCGTAGGAACTGCCCTTAATTCCTCCAGCAAATACTCACCAGGTTTCTTTGCTCAGCTGGTGCATTTTAGCCTTGAGCTGCGAAATGCCTGTTGTGCATTTGTAAGAGATACCTCCATTAATGCCAAGTACATGATTTTATTGTGCTTATACAACAGGATGAAACAAAACTTTCTTCTGTGCCTAAAGCATAACTTTGGCAATTTATTGATCCATTTCACGGTCTCATCTATACTCCAACAAGGAAACTCATTATGAAGGTTGTTTCCAAACAGTGCTAGTGCTTTGCTGCAAGAACCTAACCTCTTGGGCAGGGCAGACTTACTCTTCACTGCATTTCCTTAGGTCTGTGAGTCGATTCATTCACGTGCTTGAAAAATTAGGACTCAATGCAAGACCCACAGGGACACACAGTATGAACAGTCTTCTACAGACCAACAGACAGCTGTGAAAGGTACTGGGATTCAGGTGGTTCTCCCAGCTCAGAGAAAAAACATCTTGACTTCTGATATATACTCTATTCAAAGTATTCAGATAGATGATTCTGAATTTTAAGTTTTCGAGAAAAAAAAAAAACAGGGCTATTCCTTGAGTGAGAAGAACACTAAGGTGAAATTTTTGGATAAATAAATGCTTCTAGTATACAGCCAGTGGGAATCCTGTTGACTCTGAAACAAATACATGTATAAAAACTTTAGCTGTTAGATTTCCTTCTATTATTTTTTTCCCTGATAACCTGCATTATATAAAAACATTAATTTGCTCAGTTCAGGGCAGATGTCCCAGTTCAAGAGAGGATATCCATTCAGAAAGTGATTAACCCCTATTAACTTCATGCCTTTATTAAAGACAAATTTAATAATATATTTACATAATTTTCTGAAATAAACCATTGTCTGATTCTGCACTAATTTAACAGTTGCAGGACACATCATGTTACCTTGCAAATCTGAACTGCAAACTGACAGATTGTCACAAGTCCTATTTTCCTCCCAATAGCTATAAAAAGCTAAAGCAGATTTTAATTTTTGCTTTCATTTGATAGCTGCCTTCTCCCCCTTTTACACTCTATTTTTCATTCCTTTTTATCCTGTTAGACATTACCTCTCAAACCAACTTAATAACGTAACACTTACTTGCAAAAGGTGATTTAATTAAGGAGTGAATCCATGCTGAACATTCTGCGATGCACACAAGTATGTGAACTGCAGTTTTGGAAACAATTTGTTTACTGTAAATGAAACTTATGTTCTGTGAAAGAAATCCTGCTGAAGATAATGAAAATTCCAAGTACTCAGTACCTGAAAAAAACTGCAGCATTTGGAGTGTTTTTAATGGATTTACTAGTGAATATTCCTCTCAGATACAGCGTCACCATTTTTTCCTTTTTTCCTCTTATTTCTTCACATATTGACAATACTTGAAAACACATAGATGTATTCAAGTCACCTTCAAAAATAACTTAGCAATTTTTAAAAATTGGTTTTGCACTTTTTAGTGGCTGCATCTACATAATATCAATACAAAATTTTAAATTATACAGTTTCAACAGAGATACCTTCTCATACCTATATTTCTAAACCACTTAAGAGGAATAGTGTTACAAACAAATCCATCTGCTGTGATACCACTGTTCTCCACATTCATTACAAATAACATAAGTCAACATTTGTTCATCTGGATTTGTGCTTCGCACCCAACCAGGAAGAAACAGAGTTCCTCTGGCAATCATAGTGACAGTGCAGTCAAATTTTTCACAGCGCCTACACTTTATTTTGTTTGTCTGTGTGCCATTAATAACTTGTGGAAGCTGATGTTCCTGAACAGATGATTCTGTGTACAGAGCCCTGAGCTGTTTCAGTTCATTGCTGGCCATTTCCATCACTGTCATCTCAGCAAAAGATTTTGGACTCAACGTCCCTGAAAGAAGGTTATGTTTTAAGTGGCAATTTTTAGGGTTCTTCAGGTTAGAGATTTTGCTTCTGATGCAATTTTTATACTTTTTGTCATTTTTACCATGAAGAGAAAAAATATGTCCTTCAATTTCTTTAGATAACTCTAGCCATTTATCAGTTTCTTCATCTTTGGCAGAGCCAGTCAAAGCTTTATAAAGAAGATCTGTACACTTGCACCTCAGAGCTCTCATTGGATCCTGCTGCAGACTTGCTTCATTAACAAGAAGTTTAGAATCTTCATTATCGGTGTGTTGTTCCTCAAAAGAAGAAAGCTGATTCGTGCTGCCTTCTGCATCATTACGTACCATGTTTTTAACACTTTGCGATGGGATCAAAATTTTAGAACCAGTAGCACCTAATGTCTCCTGCTGACATGGCCCTTCCAACAGCAACTGCTCTCTAGAAACCACACAGAGACGTTCAGTTTCCTCTTTCCCATACACAGCAGCTGACTTTTTAATTTGCGTTGACTGAACAGAGTTACTCTTGTAAAGTGCTTTCCACCTTGATAATAACTGCTTTGCTTGCTTTTTCAGCTCTACTGAAGGACAGCTCTTGAGTACTCTGTATACAGCCTTGGCAACTTCTGTCCCCTGAAGATATTCTACAGTCATATCAACATCTTGAAGTTCTTTAAGATGATCCTCAATATCTTGGAAATTGTTCTCAGAAAGTAGTTTTTCAATACAGTGGGCTCTGTGTACAATATTTTTCTGGTCAGACATTTTTAAACCTGAAATTGGGAAAACATTTATCGTCTTTATTGCAGTTATGACATTAATTAATTTTCAGTATATTCTCACAAGGTTTTCTTTTTCTTTTATGTTATTTTACACTATTTTATTTGTATACATCACTGGTTTTGCCAGCTTTTTCTTGAAATGGTGTACAGTGGAGTTAGTGGAGCAAATGCAAAATGCAGAGGAGTCTGGATCCTGGAAAAACACAAGTGGGCATGCTAGTCTAACTTGTGCAAGGAAAATGCCGGCAGAAAGATCTCACAGGGACTTCTGCTGGGGTAGGGTTACAATTTAAAAAGTAGGGTATGACACTAATTTTTAAGGAAAAGCACTGTGTCTTGCCAAAAACTACACTAACAAAGACACTGCTAGCATAACAAAAACGTTTGTCATACTTGTTCTTCTACTCATGCACACCACAACAGAAATTCACTGGGACATTCTCAACAACTACAAGAAGGTACGTAACTACACAACCACTCGGCTGTATGAGATTACAAGTAGGCTTTGCAGTGTTTGTGCATTAGTAGTCTCTACTACCACTGGGCTACCAAGAAGGAAGGAGTTCTGAAATGCAGCATTTTTCACCAAAAGCACCAGATGATCACCTGTTGATGTTTAAAATCTAGACACTGTTATCAAATGATACGCTTTTCAAAAAATAAAAAGGAGGCTTTATAGACAACATATCTCCCCCTCCTCGCATATACAGATAAACAGTAAAAATATTAGTAGGGTTTTTACAGTATTGGTGTCAGTAAGTTGAATTTAATAAGAACGCTGCTTTCGGAAAACCAGTTTGTTTTTCTATCACAGAAATTTAAAGTCTATTAAAAAACATGTCTTGGGCCTACTGCTATTAACAGGTATTTGGATAACATAATGATCCCACACTGTTGAATACATTCTGCAATAGCTTCCCAATAATCTCCAAATGCAGATTTGTAAATAAACACTGCATTCATTTAACCTGAAAGTTACAATGACATAGAAGTTTACTGCAAGACTTCAAACCCATGGTGATCATTGCTGTCATCCTTCCAGAATGCATATGCAAAATAACCTTCCTCAAAAAAACTGACTTATGTCTCAAATTTTGGGAACCTGTATTTAAATGTCTTCTTCCATTTTTCATCGTTTTCAAGCATCTCACTGCAAATGAACACAGTACACGTTGCAAGGATACGGAATAACAGAAAAATCCAAGTCAGTCCAAAAACTCGGCACTGTAAGGTGCTCCTCTGGTTGCTGGTCTTTGGGGGTTGTCTCTTTGGTTGATTTTTTTTGTTTTGTTTTGTTTTTTTTTTTCAGAAATCAGTCATTCTTGTAACTATATCCTAACTTCACAAGATTTTTTCACACATACTTATGATAAATGATGAGATGTTTGGCTATCTGGTTTTGTTTTGAATAAAATCTGCAAGTTTCCACTTGGTTTCTCACACCAGACCCTTCAGTTAAGATCAAATATATAGGTTTTGGCATTAGAAGACTGATTTGGAGTAGGGAGCAATGTGTAGCACAGCTATGTTTTTCACAGATTTGTTTGGTTTTGTCACTTTGTTTTATATAATGAAAAATCATTGATACATGCAAAGTAAAAAAAAATACAAGCATTAAGAATGACCCATAAAACATACAAAGTGGGAAAGTATAAGAAAACTTGCACACTCACATTTTTTTAGTTAATATTAACTTCTACAGCAGACAGATGACATACTTGTGAATTGTTTTTTTCATTTCAGACTTTTTTCTTAAGCCTTTGTTACTTCAAAATAATAAAATTAACCAGCTAACATGGGCATGGTATCTGACCAAAAACCACTGACCTAAGTTACTTTTACAAGCACCTGGTGGAGATATCAGAGTTTTCAGGACTTTTGAGGAAATTTATATGTCACCATAACTTGATATTAGGGATTTCTTCAATTACGAAACAGTAAGTAGCTAAAGACATTTTATTGAGAGCTGTAAAGTGAAGGTTTGGGGCCACTCCGCAGCAAGTAAGCCCAACATAACTCAGTGGATCTCAAGCCCAAAATGCCACTCTGGTTCCTACATGACCCCCAACCTTTCTCTTGATATGCAAGAGATCACATGTTATATCTCTTCCAAAAGTTTTTCTTTATAGCTGCTAACAGAGAAACAAGTTGGACTATTAAACTGTTAACTGAGGTCCCCACCACTGCCCTTTCCCTTGCTAGCTCTGACATCATATTACAGTTTGATTATCAAGGCAGGGCAGCTCAAAAATAGTGACACCTGCAAAACAGTGACATCTACAAACTCCTAACTGCTATTCTGGGAAATTCTTAGAAGTTAAAGACATATCCCTTTATATTCTAAAAGGTACCTATTTTGTTATGGGCGTAGCATTATTAGAGCATGCTCCTATATATTCTGATTCATTAAACAAAAAGGGAATTTCAGAATGCGAAGACTCATGGCTTGAATTAGATTTCTTTCTGATTCCTTTTAAACAAGCCCTTTGACCAAAAAAATGCTGAATGCATTGGTATGTGCAAATTTACACACAAAAAGTGTTAATCCTACTAACATTATTCTTCTGTTTGCTGAAAAGGAGAAAGAAATGTAGAATTTAGAATTGAATGGTGTGCTGTGAGTGTTAAGTGTTCCTCTTTTCTTAGGACTTAGTCTTCTAAATTTGTGCACAAGCCCAGTGTTTTGTCTGAAGTTGCACACATCCTTATTCTACTCCAGAAAAAGTCATCTGCCTGATACAAACTGACACAAGGCTAGCTACACATGCCCATATTTAAAGGAACTCATCACTGTTTCCATGATGAAGTCTCCTGAGCACTGGGGGAGAGGGGAAACAAGTGATAAGGCTGGGTAATTTGCATGCTCTTGCTTTCTAAGACCACCAGCCCAGCTAACTTGTTTTCTGCATGATGGAAAGAAGTTCAAGCTTTAGGTAGGGCCTCAGAGCTCCACAAAAGAAAAGGACAGAGAGCATAAAACTTCATCTGTTTCTACTATCCTGAACCACAGACCAACCCAACCTTCACAGTGAATGCTCTCTGCGTTCACTTGACCTGTATTTCAACAGCTCATTCTTGTCTGACATTTTGAAGTCCTCCAAAACCTCAATAATGGCTATTTCAGAAACTGATTTACTACTCAAGAAGTTTCAGAATCAGAGAAACAGGATGAATTTTTCAAATACTGAATTTGAACTCTATGCATTGTTTTAATGAAAAGCACATATAATTGCATCCACTCATCTGGTCTGCTGCAGGAACATGCAAAGGCTGTGAGAGTGGAAAGAGAGGTTTTCTTATATAGGGCAGCCATCAGTACAGTTCCCTGTTTCCCAAACACTAAGTAGGTGACATTAGAAAATTATAATCTGCTGCCTTACTGTTTTTCATGAAATCTAGGGCAGAGTAGATGACACGGTTATATGCCCAACCAGCACAACTGCCCTATGCCTTAGAATCAGTTCTGCTCCTTCCAACATACTTCACTTCAAACTTAGTTTTATTCCGTTCCTATACCTACGTATGTATATACTGTATTATGCTACACATACCATAAAATATACTTATCCAAATGCAAGATGACTTTGTGAATTCTCAACATGTACATACAGACCTATGGACACAGAAAGGAGTTACTACACACAAAGTACTCTGCTGATAATTTGTCAGTGCATACACTTCTATCCTGTGACAAACGTGACGTATTTTGATCTTACATTGAGAACTATACTTCATAGAAAGTTTCCTTTCTAATATTGCAGGAGGATCCATACGTAAGAAATGTTACATAAGGTCCACAGATATAATTTGCTTTATGGTAGTGGTCCTTGTTCATGGTTATCCACGCGACCCTAGGCAGCCCACCAGAGTGGCAAGGTGAAGACATGCCCGTTTCCAGGGCCAATCTCACACAAGGAAATTATATGGCTGAAAAAGACTCCTTTGGCTCCACAGCTATGAGTAGGCATTGACAGCTAGAGTGACTAACACAATGTCTCTGAGGAGAGCTAGAGCCCACACTTTGGCATCTGCAGTGAGAATGCAGCCATTCTGCCACACACTCACTGTGAAATACCTTACATTTACCGGACACCTACAGCTCCTGAGAAGGAGCTGACATATGCTAACCCATCACCCTACACTAAGATGCTTTCTTCCTAATAGGCAGATCGAAGACAACCTGTTTTGTTTATCTTTAACCCTCTAACAGCTATGTAAGAGCCGTGTTATATTGGATTAAATGCAGTATGTATGCTTTACCTTAGGACTTTTTCCCACACGTGCACTAAGGCAATAAATTAAATTATTAGAGATTTTAAGATCTTCTTAGTCATGCAATGATTGTTTCAAGTTTATGCAACATTAAATTCAAGTACATAAAAGTTATGGCAGCAGCTAAATAAACAATATAAAACCAGAATGTGGACATCAAAATATGAGCAATGACGTAAAAATAATTTTGGAAATTCAACCACCTAACACACTACTCACATTTAAATCAAAACAATCACTTCTGAGGAAATACTACTTTCCTCAAGACATACAACATACAGCAAAGAGGTAGGATGGAATGACTCCCTTCAAACTTATAAAGCAAAGCTAGGTAAAATTGACAAGAAAAAATAAGTCATCAAAAATATATAACAACAGAGACAAATCATAATTAATTACTTCAGTGGAGTGGGATATTCACTGGTAACCGGCAGAAGCACAAGAAACAGCCAGCAGAGAAACCACTGAATAAAGGTAATAAACATCTCTCTATCAGTGACAATAGAGTGGTCTCTGTGGGGAAAGCATTCTTGGAATGGCACTGGCTTTGCTGTGTGTACCTAGTTTGCAAAGGATTTTAAGATCATTCAAAATGAAAAGTAATACATACATCTGAAATACCACACTAACTACTCAGTCAATAAATTTCATCTCAGCTTCCAATTTATAAGGCAGTGTGGTGGGAAAAAAAAAAAAAAAAAAAAAAGCTCTTTATACATTTGTTGTCCTATAAATCAAGGAAGGACTAGATTCATCACCAAGGTTGACAGAGACCATTATTTTACAAGATCAGAATAAACAGAGATTTGTGAGCTTATAAAGAACATGTAAGGTTATGTAAATGGTTCATTTTATGACTGCTAGCTTCCTTCAAAAGGATGAGGCAGAGCTCTTCTTTAATACTGGGAATCCTGCAGAGCATTTCATATTAAGTCTGGATGTCAAGCACCTCTTCTGCTTCTCTAATCAAGGCACAACACCATTTCCTCAGACAACTGTAGAAAACATGTTTTTCACGTTCTTATAGGGAGAAACAAGAAATGGCTGATGCAGTGGTAATACGGGAGTGTATTTTCTAGCCAAAGTTCACCGAGAACCTAAGTATAGCAAGCCTGAGTTCTTTCCTGCTCAGACTCCTGTTCCTTGAACTCCGATGTTTCTGCTGTAAATCAGGGTTTTGGTGTTTACTGGAAGGATGGCAAAACCTTCTGGTATTTGTAGGCTTTATTTTGTTACTTTGTAGAAAGAATAGTGGAAGTCTGATACCCGAGACAGCTGCCAGTTCTCTGCTCACCGACAAGTGATTTTTGAGTTTTCTGCTATGTCAGATAAGCAAAATCATTGATTGAAATAAGAGTTACTCTTAAAAAGAATTGAGTAGTAGGCATTAAAAATATTCTAGGCAATCTACAAATATTTATCATTCTCTCTAGTTCTCAGATGACAGAAGTGAGGCTTACAGGGTGAAACTACTTGCCTAAGCTGGTTCAACAGATCAACTGCAGAACAGAGACCTTTAACCCACAGCTCTACTTCTCTGATAACTCCACAGTTGTAAGCAGCTGTCCATAACGTTCAACATTTGAGGGGGGAAAAAAATACATAAAGGAAGATAGAACAAAGAGGAAGTTGGGGGAAGCCTCAAAACTTTCTGAAGAGAAAGCGTTTCACAGAAAGCAAGCTGCAGTTCCAAACGGGGAATTATTTTACCACTTGAGGGAGCTGTAGCACAGCAAACCCATGGAGTATTGTGAAATGTGCATAATGAGAAACTCCAGCCTGTTAAGAAAAAAAGATAACACCATTTCCCTACGACCTTTAGGAGACTTCACATTTGAAGGGTACCTATTTGACTAAATTTGGAAAAAAAACAAAACAAAACAAAAAAAAACACCACCAAACAACCCTATAAATTTAAAGGTGCTGGGATACAGACAGAAAGGAAATGGTGCATCCCTTATCCAGTCACTGTCCAGCACATTGCTCTTTCATTCAACACATTAAATTTGGAAGTTGACCACTTTTCTACCCGATTTAATGCTATTTGGCAAATGTTGCTGAACAAATATTTGCAAAATTAGCTGAACTGTATTCAGTCAGCACTGTTCTGCTGTCTTCCTAGTTCCAAGATGTAAGAAAACCAAGAATTTTTTTTTCCCTTAAGTTATGAAACAAACCATGCATTTTTGTTATTGTAAAGATGCAAGAACGAAAGTACAAATGGTAGTATCAATTTTGTGCAGTAGAAAATAAACATCCTCAGCCGTCCTACACCTACACAAGGCATTTCCATCCTGCTTAACTTTAGCAATGTATGAGAACATCTGTTTGAATTCCAAGTGTCTACTGAAGGTTAGAAGGTAGAGATTGACTCGTATTTACAATAGGACTCTGTAATTCTGTGCTGATGAGGTGTTTTCTTGCCAAATTATTAGGAGCTCTCACACTGACTGCATGGTATAATGAGTCACTTGTGTATACAAGAATGAATTATGGTGATGCATAAAAATCTTGTAAGTCAGTTAGTTCCTAAGGATAAAAAGATCAGGCTACATCTGGTTTAAAATATGGTCTTCCTGTAATAATACCAAGTTGAATCAAAATTTTTTAAACAGTAAAATGACTAAGCAGGAGAAAACAAACAAAAAACCCCAGCCTGAGACACTTGCTGCTAACTACAATGCCAGGCCTTGTGCTCACTCCAAAACCATTTGGGGTAAATGCCCCATCTCTGCCATATGCCATGCCTGGTTCAAAGCCATTGCCTACCTTGCCTTAGCAGAGCTAACTCCCACTGATAAACCAAGACAAACTCCGAATGCATCCAAGTAAGCATGGATGAATGTCTGGGGAGGGTAGAGAAGGCTGAACACCAGTCCTCCCTCATTCCAACCTCAGATGTAGATGTTTTGTTTTCTCCAAGGATTTCTGTGTAATCAGAAGAAAATCCAGACCACAGCCAAGATGAAGATCAGAAGCAGCCAAGTACTCCTCACAGTGTAATAAATTTTCTGCCAAAAATGTGGTTAATGCTGTAGCAGAGATGGTGCATAGCACAGTCCTGGAAACACCAGATTTCTTGCTTTGGGCAACCTAAATTCCATATAAACAATTAAAATGATCAAATGTTTAAACTTGGAGCCCGAGAAGAAATCAGAGAATTCTCACAGCCAGCCGCCAGACCCAAAAACATTCCTTCATCCTATCTACAGTGGGAGAGTGAATATCAAAGATGTCCCAAAGAAATAATTTTCAGGGGCTTTTATTTCATCTTGGCAAAAATCTGAGCTCTTCCAGTCTCTCAGCAGGACTGCCTGTCACCATTGAAAATTTCTGAACAATACAGAAATTAATCTTCGAAGACTAGTCACATGAATAAAGCTAAATTAATACAGTAATAACTGAGACAATACAACAATACTACTGCCAGATGTCCATGACCACTGACACCTCACTGACCAAGAGAGCCACCTCTCAGTCAAAGATTCAGAAGCAGCAGAGTGTGTGAGCTCAGGATTATTGCAAAACCTTTCCCCAAAACTATCTACTTCACTTGCAGAATACTACCACTGTAGCGCCAGAGGCAAAATGCCTTTTATTCTTCTACAAACAACAGAATAGAGCCACCGTGAACAAGAGAAGGAAATTTAAGTAAACATACTACTTAAAACATTGTTCCAAGAAATTTTCCAGCACATCTGGTGAAAGAGTTTGTGCATAATGGAAAGTAGTCTGATAGAGCGATAGCTTTGTTCTGCATCTTTTGCATCAGTGGCTACTTGAACTACAGTGCTCTTAACTAATGTGAAGCTAGACTGTCTCTACCCTGTGCTTCCCTCACCGGAACCGTTCTCCCACCATTTTCCTCCTGAGAAGGAGTTTGCAGGGGAGAGAGTGCAGAGTACATCCCATTCATGTGAAGATGCACATAGTAGCTTCTTTTACAAAGCAAATTTTTAATCTTGATTTGGAGTGGCTTGTCCTAGAACCCCCATTCTTAATTAAAATAGAATTATTTCCTTTAAAAAATAATAATTAAAAAATCAATAGACTGCATAACGAAGTTCTCAAGCCTCAGGGATCAACCCTGAAGTAGAGTTGTCAGCACATTTTTCTAATAAGATCAAACAAACATGCATGGATTTAATGAGATAGGAAAAGCTATTTCCCTCACAAGACTGCTTAGCCACTGGCTTCGTTTGACCTCAGTAAATAAGCTGGAGATCAGAAAAAGACTCAAAATATTAGAGCTACACCAGATGAGTACCACCTCTGACTTGTCTCACAGCAAAAAGTAGATGAGAAAGTTCTTTACAAATTGAACAGCTACAGCTGTTTTGAGTTCTAGGAGCTCCAGCTGATATTACAGTGGACAGACACATCCCAGCAGAGATGTCACCTTGCTAATGGTTTCTTGTAATAATTTCATTTAGAACTAAACAGATTCTCTTTGGAAGATATTTTAGCTTTTCCTGTATCTTGTCTGCCTTACCCATGTGAATTTTTCTACTGAACTGACTGGTTATAGACAAAACATCTTAAACCCTGAAAATGTTACAAGCAATACATTATTCCACTAATTTTAAATCTTTATTGATAAGGTTAACCTTTTTAATAAAATACTTATAAGGAATTAAAAAAAAAAAAAACAGACAAAGTTTTAACAAGTTACAGATTTCAAGTATCAAGTGGAAATACTAGCTATGTCTTCTACAACAGGACAGCTATACAGACTCACAATACATTATGATTCAATGGAGCAATAATGAAATGCATATAGTTCAGAGAGATTTGTCATTAAGTTTTATTTGAAATTATGTATAAATAACACTTGCTTATATTTTCATTAAAATTTGCACCATTTCACTTAAAGAAACACTTACATGGTTTCTATAATCTCCAAGCAGATGATTTTTCAGTGACTAACTTTATCCAAAATCATGCTTTCAGGTTCAGGCACAAGGTCACACAAATTCTTCATGAAAAATTGGTTCTCTCCCGTTTTCCAGATTTTTATTAAAAGTCTTATCAAAGCTGCCACAACAATATTGTTTCTCTCAGCTGCTTCCCACTACTTGCCAGTATGACGTAGTAGCTGGAGCTTCCAGCAGGTCAAAACTCACTGTGCAAAATTATCTGCACTTTGTGAAATGATTGCTTCGTTTCTTAACATTCATGTTTTTCCAACAGTAACAGATTCTAAACAAAAAATAATTACTGTTAATTTTGAAAGACAATATGAAGAATATTTCACTATTTTTCCACAGCAAGAGGGTGCTGTAAGTATTCTTCCTCAGTCAGGAAACATCCCAGGTGATACCAGTATGATTTAAGCAGTTTAGTGTCACCATTTATTAATTATTTTAATTCAATACAGTTTAGTCTCCTAAATTGTTCATCTGGATGGATGCAAATGATCATATTCATACTTCAAATCACTTAGGACAGCAAACCAGCCAAATAATCTCAGCAAAGGTGCAACACGTTTCAAAAGGAAGCTGGTTTCTTCAACATACATTAACTGTATTGCCTTATATAGGTAATGCTAACAGTTCATGAGGCACATGCCCCACCATTGGGATCGCATCAGACACCTGGACTACTCCCTCTACTCAAAGTCTGTGCACAAGAAACATTCATAATGCTGTCCTCCAAACACTGGGAAATCGTAATTCAAAATCCTCAATCCACTGAGATTGGCTTACACACTATAATGCTTTCAGAAGTAAAGAGCTGGGTGCTGTTGTGCATTTCCTGTAAGGCTGTAAGCCTGCAGCATTCCCACCTTTCCTTCACAGACGAAATTATTAGGAGTTTATTTTTTTGAAAAAGAAAAGTTATGCTATCTTGTACAACATGGCTCCAAGGACCCAGCACTTGAGGAAATCAGATTTTTGAGCATTCTACTGTAACTATAAAAGACTGACAATACTTTCCCTGTTCACCTATAATGATGTTACTTCTCATGTTCCTGTTCGGTATTAGAGTTTTCCTCTACTATTTTCTAACTGCCTTCTGAATTTCTTGTTCATTTACCTAGCTGGAATTAATTGGGTGGGGCTATTTTTCAAACCTACTGAATTGAAGAACTTGTTGTGAGCTGCAGGTTTAATATTTGCTTTTAAGTGACAGATCTAATCTGATATACTTGCACATCCACTTATTTTTCAGTCTCCATAAATATTGTTTATATCCTCTTGCAGATGCACTGATTCGAAACCTGGACAGCCTCAATCTAAACAAAGCCTTCCTAAGGTAGATCTCATATCCTTTCAGGAGGCTTCTGCATTTGTGGTGTAGTCCAGCAAAACACACAGGCTTGCAAATAGGAGCCTAAATCAACAACCAAAAATGTGCTTAAGACATACCTATTCAAAGTACATTTGTTCACTTAATACTTAGAAATAAAATAATAATAATTTTGGAGAGGAACAGGCATTTCCTTCTCTTGAATACATTTCCTTGACAAAATAGCTTTAAAGATTATTCTTATTCACATAGAGCTAGCAAAGACTTCAATCTAGCATACTACAAGCAAATGTTGTCTGCAACGTCTGTTTATGGCAAACTGTGATGACAAATTAATATAAAAATAGAACACGAGTAATAAAAACATAATTTATGAACTCTTGTGAATTTCTGATCATTAGTGAGATGAACTCAGACTTTTTATTGCTTTAATGGTCAGTTTTTAGTTATGCTTCAGCTCAATACTATTTCTGCTTGTCATTCCATTGTCAGAGACATTAAATAGTGTTTTATCGTTCTTTTACAGGTTTTCCACTGAAAAATTATGTATCTTTTCCCCTTTAAAAATAAATCCTGTATGCAGAAAAGCACATACATTTCTGACCCCTCAACAGAGAAAGTGTATGATATAATCAAATGGTATTTGTAAGATATTACTAGTGTCTGCCAGAATTCCTTTTGCTAAAACATGAATACTTAAATGTGAAAGTACAAAACATCTAAACATTTGAGAGTCTTGATCAGACACCTGATGTACTGGTTGAAATAAGATGTGAAATGCACCTGAAATTAAATGGATTTTTAGATATTTAATTACTAAAAATAATATTACATTGGAAGTGTGAACTCTCTAATACCTTTCTATATTTATGCCACCATTTGACTTATCTCAAGACATACGTAATAAATACCTAAAAGATTCCTACAATACTACCATTACATATATCTATTCTGCAATTTTCAATTGCAATTACAGCCACTTATGATATAAATCAGTCAGGTAATTACAACAGCTGGGAAGAGCAGCCCAGCCTATGTATTTGTCTGAAAGCAGCTGACATTCGCCTGGCGTGGAGGCCAGCGGCAGGTGACAGCTCGTCTGGAAGAGGTCCGGAGTCGGCCTCACCACACCAGCAGCTGACCAACACCATGCAGTAGCCTTCATCCCAGGCACGGGCCTAAGAAACAAGGCAGCAGCCTGCAATCACTCCCGTAAAACGGCTGGGCCGGTTCACACAGCAGCTGTGCTCCAAAATGCTAGTCAGTAATGGCATAGGTACGCTAACTCTGTGGGGTTTTTTTTCTCCAACTCCTTCATGAAAACCTCCTCAGGTCTGTTCCTCCTACATATCCTCAGACCCACCTAGCTTAAGTTCGAGCTACCGCTGTCTTACTTAGGCGCGAAACACCGCCCCTCCTGACTCCTGGCACACCCCTCAGACCTACCTACCGACGCCCCCGACGCCTCAGGGAGCCCACACCGCTGCTCCTGTCCCCCTTTGGCCCCCGAGGCCTCAGCCGGGGCTGGGGAGAAGCAGGGCGGTTTTGGGCGCCATTTTACGGCGCCGCGGGGAGCCCCCGCCACCCCTGCAGACCTCACCCCCAGCGCCCGGGGACGTGTCTCCCCGGCATCACCCGACCGGCAACACCGAAGAAGGGGGAGCTGCGCGCTTCACTCCCGCTGCCCCCGGGCCAAACACACGACGCTGCTCCCCTCCACCCCCGTAGGCCGGCGGCGGGGCCGGCGCCGTTACCTCCGCGGCGGGCCTCAACATGGCGCCTCCCTCCCGCGTCCTGCTCGGAGCTGGGGCGCGCTGCCGCCATCCCTGCGAGCGGGCGGGCGGGCGGGCCGGCCGGCCTGCGAGGGCAAACGGTTGCCGGCTGGCCCCTGTCCGCGGCTCCCGGTGAGCCCCTGCACCGGCGGAGCGCCCCGCTGCGGGCGGACACCCGCCTCGGGGCGTGGGCAGCCCCGCTCGCTGCCGCAGTGGGCGGGGGGCCCGCGGCCAGAGAGCCGTGGGGTGGCAGGAGGGGCGGGGGGGGGGCGTGTTCAGTGTGAGCTGCTGCGCTGCCCGCCGGGCCCACTGCGAGGGTGAAAGTACCCTCGGAGGGGAGCAACGGCCGTGGAAATCGCCTGCTCTCCTCAGCAGCCTCGGGTGTGAAGGCAGAGCTGCCGCGGAGGCTGCTGCCACGTTTGGGGCGTTGCTCCGTTCTGGCATCCGAAAAGGGGCGCCGGGGCACTGCCCTGGGGTCCCTGTGCCGGGCGTGGCCTCCCCACGGTGCCCACTCGCGTCTGCTGCGCTGCTGGCGTGGGACAGGGACACAGAGCCGGCCTTCGGGAGAGCTGGAGAAGCTCTTTGGCTCCTCCTAGACCTGAACCTGATGAAAAAGCAGATGCTATTCACGTGATTTTAAACTTTAACCTTAGTTATGACATGGTCTTACTTGAGAAAACATAGCTAGGGAAAGGCAGTGCGACACAGCGAGTGGGGTAAAAGAGTATCGTACCTAAGGCTAACAGAGAACAACAACAACAAAAAATTATAAAACTCATTTTCAACATGGTACTGCATTACTTTTCGTATACCCAGCTAGTCTTTTGGATGACAAATGGAGCTATTGGTATACACAGAGTTAAGGAAAAGAAATATTACAAAAACTTACTTCACAGAGTAACAGCTTTTGGATACAATGAAGTGAGCTGGACATAGCAGATTATGCAGTAAACACCTAAAAGTTGATGTATTTTAGTCAAAGAGAATGTATTTGCCATTGCCTTTATTGCAGTGCTTTCCTCATACATGTTTGCATAGGCATTCAAAATTAATTCGTAAAAGATTAATAGTTCTAGAACTTTGGTTTTACAGTAAATGTACAAGTGTATGGTGGGGTTTATTCTCAATGACAGTAAAAAGTTGGTGTGATTATTTTAATAATTATTTTTGGTTTTGCTCACTAATGAGGCCTGTGTTGCCCTCTGCTGACAGTCAACTGAATTTACCTACCCGAACTTGCCAAGTATGTTTCATCATTAGTATCATGTATGGCAGACACACCTCTTTTTCCCTGCTTTCACATAATGAACATCACCAGTGTTCTTTGTCACTAATCACAAAGAAAAAAAAAAAAAGCCTTGTACTCTTGTATGGGATGTAAAAAAATAACATAAGCAATTTATTCAATTATTGTAACAAACCAGTAATCAGTGTTCATTACTTAGTGTTATCAAACCTTTCCTTGATAGTGTTGCAGTGGTTGCATTATACACTGATAACTGAAGAACCCTAAATGATTGCTGAAACTTAACTCACGACGCCTTTGTGCCAGACTGGCGAATTCATCAGCGATGAACATGTGGTGCAGTGGTTAGCCCTGGCTAGCTGGAGGCCACAGATCAGATCAGGCTTCCTTTTTGCCTTGTCTTTGTGGCTCACACAGCAACAAAGTGTGAGACAAAACCTGTCCCAAAGAGACTATAGTTTTATGAAACAAGGGATGAAAAATTTGAAGCAGATGACATAGATTTCCAGAACAGGCACAATAAAGTAGTAGCAGAACAGGAAGGCAGTCCAAGCCTTCTAGGTCCAAATGTGGCATGTCCCTCGATGGCCTATCTTACATATTTTTAAGTATTTTTGCAGCATACATATGTCATGATTTCAGCAGCAGCTATCATTGTAATATTCAAGAGTTTGCAGTTTAGTCTCAGTTTGGGACTCCCGGGATAAGATTCTTGAAAGCTAGTTTTCTTTAATCTTTCTCTACATGTACAACTGTGAGCATGGTACATATAGGATTTTTTATATCCTCATCTGCAAGTGCCTTGCCTGCTGCAGAGGCACAGAGCTCCCTTGGCAGGAAGGCACAACAAGGAGCATGACTTGCTCCCTGTGATTAGCCCTCCTTTGAGAAGGGATCAAAACTGAAGATGCTCCTCCTGGAGGCAAGTTCCTCACTCAAAGGACTGCTTGGGCATCTCCATTTAATCTTCTTTGATCTAATGAATAAGGGATCATTATTCCAGTTTCTCATTTATAAAACAGAGATAATAATGATTTCTCAATTACCCCTGAAGTAAAACAAAACAAAAATGTGATAAAAATGATATACCTATTATATTCATACATATGTGTATAGGTGTGTAAAGATATATATGTACATCTTTGTGTTTGCATGGTTTTCTGAAATAAAATCAGTGCTACTCTAACAAAGACAGCTTCCTTGAGACTTCAGTATTGGCTGTGGTAAGTATCTACTTCTCTAAAAACATAGGCTTCTATTCAACAAAGTGAGATATTCTGTCAGATGGTAAAGTGTTAAATATCCAGATAAAGTATTAAATATCCACAGAACTAGTTGCAATAATGTTGGTCAAAAAATGTTTATCATAAGATTCTTGCACAGAATAGTATCAGTTTAAAATAAGCTTGCTTCCCTAAAATATTTTTTTTTCTAAAATAATGGTTCTATTTAAAGAAAAACAATATCAGAACAAGATGTTTAGGAATTAATAATTCTATAAAATTATTTTTTATATGTATTATTTTATTTTTAAAATGACATCGTATAATAATGTCATAAAAAGCTGCTATTTTGTCATATAACTTACTGCTTTATCATATAGTCCCACAGAGGTACAACACATGATTTTGGACATACTATAAAAATTTAACATTTCTGAGTTTAAATGAGCTGTAGGTTTTAATTTTCTGCATGTGATCTACATAAAAAACAATGTTAGCATAAGAATGCATGTGAGCAGTTCTCGCTTGCCATTGAGCAGGAAAAAACTGCAGAATTTCCACAATTATTACTTTGTTTATTTGTTAACTGATACCCACATCTATGAAAGAGAACACAGTCACTGAAAGTAGAACAATGATACACAGTTTCTTTTAATGAAATAAAAAGCTTTTTTTAACCAGTTTTGAAGGTGTTATATGTTGATAATATATTAGCAATGAAATATTGCAGAGATGTACTCCCATTCACAAAATATTTGTAATGTAGTTACTTGAAACAAAATATGTGTGAGTTCCCTTAAGGTCCTTCTTCAATTTGTTTTATAAAGAATAAGCTTTAGTCTCTCCTTTTTATTGTCCATTCTTGGATTTGTAACAACTGCCTCTTCAGAATAGCTCAGGCAAAATGTGTTGTGGTGGGAAGGACTGACGGACAGGCATTTCCTCTAAAATCCCTGGGTATTGGTGCTGGAGCTGTGGTTTGAACTTTCTGAAACCTTGTGCACAAGTAATAGCAGCAGCTGTTCCTTACAGAATGAAATCAAGGAAATTGTATCTGCCCCAAAAAACCTGAAAGGGAACTGGTCACTGGTCACTTGCTAGAAATACTAGAGAAGGAGGCAAAGTCAGTGTCGGCTCTCGGTAAGACCGGCATAAATCAAAATGCCTCTAGTGAAATCAGATGAGTAATAGATGTACACAAACGTGGCCGAGAACAGAATCTGCCTCCATATCTTCAGCAGAAATCTTGAATGCCAAAGTTGTGATAAATGATTCAAAATTGCTCTTGCCCCCTGGCTGAAAATCAAAGAAAGACAGAATTGATATTATCTTTATTAAAAGTAGCAGCAATCCTATAGAGAACCACCATCTTTTTTGATTTATACCTCATACAGCCTTTTTTATATGTTGGTAAAGCACTGGATTGGCTACAGGATAGTTTTGTATTAAGTATCTGTGATAATAATGACTGTAAAGACAAAATAAAAGGTGGCAACTGTTCAGAACTGTTCAGAAATTCTTTATTAGCATAGGTGAATGAAATTGATTTTTCCAGAATTATGGACATTTTCTGGCACTGACTTTAAAACATGATTTGTCATAGGCTTGCCAAACTGGTAAAGAAGGCTTTAAACGAAAGTTGCTGGGGGAGGGGAACCTCACTCCATCCCACTCCTACCAGTTTGGTGCCAGTGCCAGCAATAGATGCCCAGAGCCTGGAGAGGGATCACAGGTCAGCAGGAGAGCGCCTGAAGAGCAGCACAAAGGAATTCCAGCCACTCCAGCCAGTAAGACACCTTCATCGGGGGCCCAATTTAAATGCCTCTATGCAAAGGTACATAGTATGGGGAATAAACAAGTGGAATTAGAGATATGTGCATGCCTGCAGGGCTGTGATCTTACTGGTAGGATGACTCCTATGACTGGAGTGTTGGAAAGGAAGGATACAGGCTCTTTAGGAAGGACAGGGAGGGGAGACCAGGAATGGGGGGTCACCCTCTATGTCAGTGACCAGCTGGACTGCATGGAGCTCTGCCTGGGGATGGGTGAGGAGCTGACCGAGAGACTATGGATCAGGATCAAAGGGAGGGTAGGGACAGGTGACATTATAGTGGGAGTCTGCTACAGGGCAACCAACCAGGAAGACCAAGAGGCTGAGGCCCTCTACAGACAGGTAGGAGCAGCCTCACGTTCACAAGCCCTGGTCCTCATGTGGGACTTCAATCACCCTGATATCCCTCCCCTGATGGAGGGGAAACACAGCAGGGCGTGAGCAATCTGTGAGGTTCTGGAATGCATTGATGATAACTTCCTTCTCCAAGTGATAGAGGAACCAACAAGAAGAAGTGCTATGCTGGACCTTGTCCTTACCAACAAGGAGGGGCTGGTGGGGACTGTGAGGGTCAAGGGCAGCCTTGGTTGCAGTGGCCATGCAATGGTGGAATTCAAGATCCTTAGGGCAGCAAGGAGGGCACACAGCAAGCTCACTACCCTGGACTTCAGGAGAGCAGACTTAGGCCTCTTCAGGGATCTGCTTGGTGGAGTACCATGGGATAGAGCCCTGGAAGAAAGAGGGGCCCAAGAAAGCTGGTTAATCGAGGATCACCTTCTCCAAACTCAGTAGTGCCGCATCCCAACAAAGAGGAAGTCAGGTAGTAGCGGCAGGAGGCCTGCATGGATGAACAAGGAGCTCCTGGACAAACTCACACACACACACAAAAAAGCCTACAGAAGATGGGAGCAAGGACAAGTAGCCTGGGAGGAATACAGAGAAATTGTCTGAGCAGCCAGGGATCAGGTTAGGAAAGCAAAAGCCCTGATAGAATTAAATCTGGCCAGGGATATCAAGGGCAACAATAAAAGCTTCTATAGATACATTGGTGATAAAAGGAAGACTAGGGAAAATTTGGGCCCTCTATGGAAGGAAACGGGAGACTTGGTTACCCAGGATATGGAGAAGGCTGAGGTACTCAACAACATTTTAGCCTCAGTCTTCACTGGCAAGTGTTCTGGCCACACTGCCCAAGTTGCAGAAG